TACTCATTTACTAAAATGTAATTTTCGACCCTGTCATGGATTTAAACAAATCAAGTTTAAGCTCCTATAAAACTCAGATAGCTAAAATAAAAAAAACAGCTCTTTTGAAATGCAAAGTCTCCAATCTGAGATATATATCCATTTTTTGATGTAAAATGTTTATTTTAGATGTCTGGCAAGCAATAACTGTACATTAGTAGGGATATCATTGCCATCTTTATGGCCATACTCATGACAAATTGTTGCAGAATGTGGTAAGAAGTAAGGTCTCCACAGAAACGTAGTGTCTCATGGTAATCGACCTTGTATTTTCATGCATGTTCATTTCTATCAAGATATTGGAATTACCAGGAATAATCAATAACATATGACTTTTTACCTGGTTAAAGCTGTTGCTGGACTTTGGCTCGTCTCAAAAAGGAGCCGTTATCAAGTTCAAACTTGGGAGTACAAGTCCCACGTTAAGCCCTTTATGGTAGTGAAGGCTCTGGACTAGACAGCGTTATTTTTAAAGTATGAATCTTTAGGAATTCAAAGTGAGTTTTCAGATTATAGGCCAAAAAAAAAATTGGAAAACTTCTCCAAGCCATTTGTTTTCACTTTAACTAACAAATTGGAAAATATGAAATCTCTAATTTCCCAACTATTCATTTTTGTACACATTGCTTTTAATTAATGTGGGGCAGGGAACATGACAAACTCACATGTGCTTCAAGATGAATACTTTGCAATTAATGCACTATAGCTATCGTTCGGAGTGTTGCATATTTTAATTTGGGAACAGCTCGGTTGACATTGAAGAATAGTTTCTTCACTTTCCTCAAATCTTTTCGTTGTACTATAAAAGGTTTAGAAGTGCATTTTGTTTCTGGACAAACTGTAATTGTAGCACACCACACCATTTCTTTTGCCTTTTGAATTTTGTTTCTGGACAAGAAAGATGTCAACTCAGCTGAGTTACCAGTCTGGGAATGCTTGCTGTTACAAGGAAACCCTATTGTGTTTGGACTCCACCTCATCTAGATCATGCCGTAAACCATTCCCCCAGAATTGGCAACAGTCCAGATTCTAGTGTTATCCACATTTGAAGGGAATCTGGTAATTCCTAACTCACGGACCATCAATGGCCCTAGAAGAATGGTTTGAGATCTCTACCTGCAGAAGTCTTTTTCGTAGACGTGCACAAATCCTTTTCAGTTGCGACGACAACACATTTCTGTTAATGTATGCTCAAATGAATCAATTTTTCTGGAGTTTACTTGTGCAGTCTTATAAAACTTCACAGGTAAATCCCAGACGCATCGATTTGTTCCAGCATACATTAACAGGAACTTCCGTTGTCAGCCGCAACTGAAAAGGACTTGTGCCAAAGGATACTTTTTATGGCCACATAATATTTTGATGGGAAACTGTCACTTCCCAGGAATTGTTCTTTATTATGTTTGCTTATTCCTTTTTAAAAAATAAAATAAAAAAAATATGTATTTGTGCGATGTGAAATATTAAATTAAATGTAAGAAATCCACACATCTTTATCCTTCAACTGGGTGCCTCCATCTTGGCTGTCTGTCAGTCAATTTAGTAAGTTTTGTAACTATAATTCTAATAAATTGCATTTTTATTGAGGTTTGTCACAGAAAGCTGCCATAGTCACATTAATAGCATCTACTGTAATGTCTATTTTTTTTTTTTCTCTCAGCAATGGGTACAATCCCAACAAATTACTTGTTTTAAATTATAATTTCATATGGATGCTTGGAAGTTTTCTTAATAGATAACATTCTTTCATATATTATGTATCCCAAAATATGAGTGGTGGTCTAATATTTAGCAGAATGTGTATGGCATTACATTGTCGTTTCATGCACGTAGCTGCCATATATGATAAAATACCTAGTATAAGAGTAGAGGGAGCCGCCATTTAGTTTTAAGTACCCTAAAGAGGCTTACAAAGCATTAAAAAATGATTACAATAATTTTAGGGTAGTGCTGAGGTTGTGGTATTGTTTGATTATTAGTACATTAATAGACTGATTCATTTCTCTCTCTAAAATATATATATAATGGCTGCAAATGTTGTGTTGGTCCACTTCAAGTGCTCTCATTTCATCGTTACACAAGAACAGACTGCTTCTGTATTACAGTAAGTACCAAGAGAGGCCCAGGTTTTTGCCAAAACTGGGGCAGGAAACCGCCACCACAGACTCCACTCAAAGAGGTTATGGTACTTAGAGTGCCCTTTTAATTGAAGCATTTTTTGTGTCCTAAAAGTTTAAAAAAATGCCTTTAGTAGACTTTGGATTATTAACCCTCTCAGAAACAACACCATCAATACTTTAGTGATGATTGAGTTTTTTTTTCTTCTAGTGAATGGGTTAAAATATCAGTTTTCTATGAATGCCCAGATCCTTTCAGTGCGATTCCATTAGCTCACAGCTGAGGAGCTAGCACGCTTTTGATCATACACACTAAATTTAGGTTGGAAACCATGCATGCGCCAGGAACAAAGGTTGTACAGCTGAGCAGATTAATGGATTCCGGCTTTTATCTCCCCAAACCAAATTTTAAAGAATAAATGTACAAAATTAAATTATCTACTCTAAACCCACTGCTCTAGATTTGTATGTATATCTAAGAATACTGTAGATGTTTATTCTGGATACATTACAGCTGTAATCAATATTTGTTCCAGTATTGGACCTTTAGGCAGAGTTCCATTAACAGGAATTAATGCAAGATAAACCTTAGACTAGAATATCTAATGTTTCACTTTTTAACCTCTAATCCTGAGTGGTCCCATACTAAACCAGTGCTTTCAAACTCCCAAGATGTGCATCCAAACATGGTTCCCCTACATTCAGTGGGCTGCAAATTGGCTGGAACTGATGTATTATATCTAACAGACCAATGCTACAATATCTTGGCTAAACGCTCTCCTCAGTGCTGTGGTGATCCCCAAAGCAGTGGATCCTTAATCATACTTCTTGACACACGTAAAGTCCAGGATTTGGGCTTTTCACAATTCCATTCCTTTGAGAATATGTACAATATTGACTTTTGGTAAATGAGGATAAACCAAATTGAGGTATGTGACAAATACCGTAATAGTCTCCAGGCAAATGCCATGCATGCAAATTGAAGGTCAAGAACCTAAACGTTTTGTCGTAAGTAAACTTCAATGTTGGCACTGAATGTGCAATTCTAATCTCTAGGTTGATCATATCCATGAGTCCTTGGGTGGAACCTCAAGTGGTCATGGAGCCTGGAGTCCATGTGCATGTTTTGTTATGAAATTCTGTGCGTATAGAGATTAACCTTTCTGGTGTTACTCCACCTCTAACAGAATCATTGTGGTATTATCAGCCAGCTCAGGACTCTAGTTCCAAGCTGGCTTATATAAATTCTGTGCATATCTCCATGCACAGCATTGCAATCATCGGCTTACCACATTGATCTGACACGCTCAGCCAATAAATGGCGGTCCAGCAGGATCGGCGTCCAGCTATTCAACAGCCAGATGTATGTCACATATAAATGTGGCAAGTCATGGAAACAAGTGTAACCGCGCACATAAGCAGACTCCTGCTGTGAATGCAGTTAAGTGTCACTCCAGATGTGCTCTACTTATATAGTAACAAGAATCCTTTTTGATTCCTCCAAAGATTTTGGACCACTAAAAACAGGTCCTCTATTGTTTCCATACAGCACCAATCCACAATAAAACACATGACAGGGCCCCCTATTACAATTTATTGGTACAAACAAAAGGGATTAAAAACACTCACAAGACCAGAGAGTGAAGAACACTAGATAGATGCAAGCATGCTGGCATACACTGATAACCCCAGACTGCTCTGAGAAAAAAAAAAAAAAAATCGGGATATCAGGATGATACACTTACCAGTTGCCGCGTGTGTTCCACAGAGTTCTGACCTGCGCACCGCTGTAACTTTCACTCCGGTTGCTGACTCGCGTACAGGTGCTCTTAGTCCTATGCTGATGTATGCATCAATTCCTCAGAGGGGTTTATACAGTCATTTGTGGACTGTTTGGTCAGTATGGACTCGTTTTTAGGGTCAATATACATTGGGAGCTTTCATACAGTTTATTGTTTTAAAGCAGTTACGTTATTTTCTGTAATACAGGTTGTCCTTACTTTATGACCTACCTGTTTTACGACGGCTTGCACTTACGACCAGCTCTTTAGCGTGGGTATGTCTACATTCTGGTAAATTTACCTGAACATGAACAAGCGCACCAGAGCAGGAAACCCCTCTAATCTATGTTTGGGGAATGGTCCCCAAACTTAGATTTGACAGATTCCCTGCTGTGCTGTTGCGCTGGTCTATGTACGGGAAAATTTCCCAGAACATAGACCTCACTGTTTTACTACCAGGTCGTAAGAAGGGAACCCAGTCAGTAAATGAGGAGTAGCTGTATTAAATCATTTATCCTTTTTAATCCTACCCAGATCTATTGTGTATTGCATCAGAAGGAATTCTTAATGCTGGCAAAGCATCAAGGGAGATGTAGTCCACATCTCGAGTGCCAAAGGTTGCCTACCTCTGGTCTAGTGGCCCATGTATACACAAAAGGTCAGCTTAATGGCTTATGAGGAAATGTTTAAAAGGGTAGGTATGGGTGATTGAGCAAAGCTGGCCAGGGTTATGGGGTAAGGTCAGATTCAAGAGCCACACCATGTTCCTTGAATATCCGTGCCTAAAGTCATGCTACCTGTGAGAGATGAGATGTATCCACTGCAAATAAAAAAAAAAGTAGTAAAATGCAATTCTAGGTGATTTACAATTCAATGGTATAGTTTCCAGAGAAGTGATGGATCATTCTTTTCTATATAAGGCATAGAGAATAAAAAAGGAATGTGTCCCTCCCCCCCCGCCACCATTCTGCATATATTTTATTGTTCTTAATAATATTAAGCAAACATACATTTTTATTTTTATTTTTTACCCCGTCACCCATGGTGTTTTATGTATCACGCGTGCAAAATGATGTTCTAATGAAACTTTTTATTGAGAAAGGCATATATAAAAATCTTCTCTAGATTACAATAAGCTATCAGTTTTTTATTACAGCGAGATCACCTGGATGGAGAGAGATAGACATAGACATATCTATCTATGAGAGATTTAACTTCCATCCAAAATGTACAGTATTTTTGAATGTAGAAATGTAACAAAACAGGACAGTATACCACAGCCATTAGTCATTTTAAAAGCACATACCTGGATTATAAAATGAGATGATGTTTTAAGGCAAAATTGTACAGGACAGGAATGAGATTAAAGCATAAAAATATTTTATACATTAGACAACGCAGTGATTTGTCAAAGTGAGCAGTGCAACAAGTTTTCATTATAGACAGTAAATCATAGTTATTGGTGTGATGAGAATACAGGCAGGGAAACCGATACATGAGCAGGGTTAGAATATGATTACCACAATCACAGCACTTTAAACATAAAAGGCAAGATTTCCAGTTCTTAAGAGAAACAATGTGACAAAAATGACCCCCTACTTTTTTTTTTTTTTAATACAATATTTAGATGATTAACCAAAAAAATGTTTCCCCCCTTTTTTTTTTTTTTTTTTACTGGGGCTCACCAAGCAGGAGTCTCCTATTCTGGCCTGTTGACCTGCTTTTATCCCATAAACTTCTGTCCAGCAGGAGTTAAATGGTTAAATAGCAATAGTTCCACGCATTGCACAGGATGATTGTAACAGTTCTGTAAACTGATCACAGACATGCTACAGCTCAGTTTTCTCACAGTAAGATTCAATGTTTAGTGGAATGGGGTGTGTGCAGTGAAAGGCAGCGTTGCAGAGGAAAGAGAGACTTTTCATAAATTGCTACGGTTATCCTGTCATCACTGGATGACCCTTTAAAATGTATTACCGGTTTTAACTTTGCGTGTTCCCATAACAGTGCCCAACACCCACTCCCACCCAAATGGCAAAAACCCTAACTGTGGTCAGTCCTCTCTCACGGTTGCTTTGCTCTGCCCAAAGGAGACCGTCAGTGGCAACAGTCTACCCTTCCTACTTGGACAAAATTGGTGCATGGATGGTGATGGCGCCAATGAAATACAGTGATCTCCCAATAGAATTCTCTTCACAGGAAGCATTGGCTAAGGTTTCCCCGTGGAGACTATTTACTTCCACGGGAATGATTTTTTGAGCAGAGTGAACCAGGAATGCATCCTGGCTGTCCGCTTGATCTCCCAAATCTATTCATAAAAATCACGATTTCTCTTGAAATCTGCACCTTTATGAACTGGGACAATGGTGCAAGCCGAAGTGACTTAGTGGTTTGAAGTGTCCCTTTAAGTAGATCTGCCATTTATCCCCCAGAAATTCCATTTTAACACAAATCGAATATCTCCTGTGGTAGAGATAACTTCCTTTTCCAGTAAGAGAGTTTTGTGATATATGAAGAAAGTGGGAAAAAAATTTACAACACTTTTTTGGAGAGTCAACTACTGGGGTAAATATTCCAAGGAGTGTTTCAATGCCTCTATAGACTGAAATGCAAGCCAATGATCAGGCTTGCTTGGCAACAGGTTAATGTTTGGCAATTTCTAGGATGCATTGATAGACACCCCATAGAAAATATGGCTTTGTTTTAAAAAATAAAAAAAGACACATGGTGAAGCATTGGTACAGGGTTTGACATACAAATGAAAATATTATGGCAGCAAATTAGAGTTGCCAACTGTAACCATTTAAGATCTACATCTAATTGGTTTGTAGGAGTTTCCAAACACTGTGTGGGCATTTAAACAACATGTATACATGTCACAGAATTGCTTTTGCATTGTATTAAAACATTTGTTAGACTTTATCCCACATTTTGTCCTTCCTTCAGCAAAAAAAATAAATAAAATGTATTTAAATGTTGGTAATCTTTTTAAGCTTCCCTGAACAGCAATTTATAAACAATTACTGTTTTGACAAAATGCCAGATTCTAGAGTTATGTTACAACATTTTATGTTTAGACATTTTTACTATAGCTTGGTTAGAATGCTTTCTCAAAATCAGTCAATTTAGCCTAAATTGTCCAATTTATTTTTCAATTCACTATTTAGTAAATAAGACATTCGTGCATACCAGCACACTGGAAGAGTGAGCATGAGAGCCACAGTTCACTCGATTCCAGAGCTCCCCTAGGATAGATCTACAGAAGTTTTATGAACATATTTGAAGCATTGACAATCTCTGTAATGTCTCATCATCATACAAGCTGTAGTTGTAAAACATCTGGGGAGCTACCTTTTGGACACTTACGGTCTATACCAGGGGTTGGCAACCTTCGGCACTCCAGATGTTTTGGACTACATCTCCCATAATGCTCTTACACCCAATGTTTGCAAAGCCTCATGGGAGGTGTAGTCCAAAACATCTGGAGTGCCGAAGGTTGCCTATGCCTGGTCTATACTCTACTTCCTTGTGGTAGAACTGGGATTATGAATCCAAAATAAATTGAAATATATCCAATTTCCAATGTTAAATCTTTTATAATCCTGAAAAGTATACTAATACAATTCATGCTGGAAACTGATGATCAGAAAATAAATTGTTATTTATATACAGAATATATGGTATAGGTTTAAATTGGATCGGTCTGTATATCTGGCAAAAAACAAACAAACCCAAAAACTACAAAACGTCAAGGGTGTCGCAAGACGAAATGTCAAAAACCTTCCATTGGCACATTGAAATGAGTGTTTTATGAATAAATACAAGCTTGAATTACCCAACACATTCATACAGCAGTTGGGGAGACATATCCAGTGTAGGACAGATAGAGAATGGTCGGCGCATGTCCAGAGAACCAGTGTCTGTTTGCCATTACCCAGTGCATCCAATGTCTATGTGGGAGAGTCCTTAAAGTACAAGGGCTACGTTTTATCAAAACTATACATCTTGGTTTGTATTTTATTATACACATTTGTGCAGGCTTTTGTCATCAACAAAATATAAAGTGTACTTGTGAGCAAAGAATTCTTTGATTATACATCCATAATATTCCCTTTTGGTTCTTGGTGCAGGATTCTGGAGTGCAGTGACCGCTATTTCTTACCACTTGTGTTAGTGTAGACATTGGCCAGAGAGTCTATTTCATGGAGAAAATGATGAAGCAAAGCAAATGTGATGGGTTTCACAAAATGCTTTTCAGGAATCGATTTGATCATAAGACGAAAACACTAGATAAGAGAAAAAAAAATAAAATAATGAGTGGCAAGAAGATGATTTGCCTGAACCCACCCCCTTCCACCCCCAAAAAAAAACCAAAAAAAAAAAAACCAACACACACAAAAAACAAACAAACACACAACAACAACAGGAGAACTATATTCGTAAAGCTTATGCTCAAGAAATTTCAAACCTCCAGGAGACCACCCATCCTATCTGCTACAAAAGTGTCTCCCCCACCCTACCAAACATTCAAGATCTGAGAACATAACTTCTGGTACAATAGCCCGGAACGAGCATATCTCTCCTGATCCACAGAGGTCTGTCTCCAGACCAAATTTAATAGGTCAGAATTCAACTGATAAACAGCTCCTGCCTTTCCAACCCGCGTGTCCATGAGTATCAAGTAAAGACTTCTGAATCTATGGCAGAACATCTTCCTAGTGCAATACATTTTTAATGGCAAGATAAGCAGGACGCCTTCTTAATTCCATTGTGGTACAACATTTACAGCAAAGAACAAACCAAAAGTGACCCTGTAGATCAAGGCAAAAGGATTTACTAGCCAAGAAGACATTTGTGTATTTTGTTTGCAAATTAAGATTTATTCTGGAGCACGTTTGGAGCGGTGGTCAGGATACGTGGTGATAGAATTTAATAAATGTAAATCGAGGAAAAAAAATATGTAAAAAAATGGCATTGTAAGGAGACTCACCCATTCTGGCGCACTGGTGTCGATCCAATGACCTAGCTCTAATATTGATGCAGCTTTGTCAATCTGACCACAATCAAAGCAGTTTGAGACATTGCAAAACTTTTACTAGGTCACGTCATTCTGGATCAAACAAACGTAAAGTGACAAAAGAAGTGATCTTCGAGCGTTTTACCACTTTATGGGTGTTGGCGTCTTTACTGATGCAGTGCGCATGCGAAAATGACAAAACTATAAATTCCAGTGATCTTTGGATCTGAACCATTTTGTGGCTTCTCTAAGCCCTTTACGAGCTTGTTAGTACTTTTCCTAATTTCCGATTACTTATTGGCTACAACCTTGACCCTGAGTTTGTTCATTTCTAGTTATAGTGTACCAGACTTGGCGCCATCCCTGACTCAGTGTATGGCGTGTCCCCTATATGTTTGGCTTCTTTTCCTGGCCCAGTTTGCATTAGATTTAGTTTAGGTTCAGATTTCATTTCCATCCCAAGAACTAAGTCCGGCCACCCTTAGATCTGGTAATACCATCTTCCCCATTGTGCTTTTGGTAGATTGCGGATTTATAACGCTATAGGGATGCACTGGTATCCTGGCTTGCACCGTTGAATATTAAAATGAATAAATAACTCGTATTTTTCCTCCTTAACGATTTAAATTTTAAACTGCCTGTTGGCACCCAGAGCACTTCTGCCCATTGGAGTGGTCTGGGTGCCAACTCCCACTACCCTTAACCCTGCAAGTGTAATTATTGCAGTTTTTCCATAAACTGCAATAATTACATTGCAGGGTTAACTCCTCCTCTAGTGGCTGTCTACCAGACAGCCACTAGAGGGCACCTCCTGGATTATAGCACAGAAAATATGTGCTAGAGTGTCGCTTGACGTCCTCATGCTGTGTGAGGACCTCCAGAGTCGCTAAATTCCCTATAGGAAAGCACTGAAAAGCATTTTCAATGCTTTCCTATGGAGAGCCCTAATGCGCATGCGCGGCATTGGTTTCCTCAGCCGGCAGGCGGGATTAGTCTCTCCCAACGGCTGACGTAAGGAAGAGGAGCAGCGGCCGCGACCTGAAACCACCGCCGAGGGACATCAGCGGAGGTCTCAGGTAAGTGACCTGAAGGGGTTTTCACCCCTTCAGCTACCGGGGATTGGGAGGTGGGAGTGAGAGAGGACCTGCAGTGCCAGGAAAACGGCTTGTTTTCCTGGCACTGGAGTTTCCCTTTAACCATTGTACCTGAAGATAGATAGATTTAAAAAAAAAAAAAAAAATGATATATTTATTTTTTAATCTCCATTCTCATTGGACGGAGAACAGTACAAGGGTAATTGTCAGTGTGAGTTGTGCATTTAACAAACCCACCATAAAGTCCACATAATTAAATATTGCATTGTTCATGCACTTACTTCTCTCCCTCAGTCCTTGGCCAAAGCTGCGGTAGACATGGTACAGGTGCCAGGATAAGACAACTTTAATAGTCACCGACATAATGGAGCCAACCACTGCTGTAGCTTCCAGAGTGTACGATTCCCCACTGCCCCAATCTACGGACAGCTAATGGGAGAAAAACACAAGCTAGGTCATTATCTCTACAAATGTGAAAACCCGCAGAGCTGTGACTAATCAGGTATATGGGGTCCTAGCATTCAGAGGCACACTGTTATTATTAACAAGATAAAAAAAACAGCTATGGGCTACTTTCTTCTGTCTTCAACGACTCCAGATATTTGCCTTCTGACAGTTAGTACAAAGCATGTTGTGAACAGTACAAGTAGACAATATAAAGTCAATTTCTTTTGGCCAGAGTCTCAATCCTTTATGGGCCAAATACATTAAAAAAAAAAAATTAAATAATAAACACAAAGCCACACACAGGAGAAAAACACACTAGCCTAAATCTTAAAGCACATTTAAATAACAGTAGCTTTACTTGATTTAGTTCTATGTATTTGGGTAGTAGTAGTGGGAGTCTAAGCTAAGGGTTTCATTTTGTGTGTTTGTATCACACATTACAGTCGCCCACCACATTTGTATCATATGAAGGGTTAATAAGTGTGTAGCAGTTCATAAAAATACCACTTTAGTCTCTTTAGCGATTTTACCTTTTAGCTGAACACAGCGAGGTGCATTGTTAGTGTAAGACTCACCTAAGGTGTTTGCTTTAATGTGGCATATGAGTTTACACTTTAATGGCCATTGCAAAAAACATTCACAGTGCAGGTGGAAAAAGTATGTGAACCCCTAGACTAATAACATCTCTAAGAGCTAATTGGAGTGAGAGGTCAGCCAACTGGAGTCCAATCAATGAGATGAGATGAGATGAGATTGGAGGTGTTGGTTACAGCTGCCCTGCCCTATAAAAAACACACACCAGTTCTGGGTTTGCTTTTCCCAAGAAGCATTGCCTGATGTGAATGATGCCTCGCACAAAAGAGCTCTCAGAAGACCTACGATTAAGAATTGTTGACTTGCATAAAGCTTGAAAGGGTTATAACAGTATCTCCAAAAGCCTTGCTGTTCATCAGTCCATGGTAAGACAAATTGTCTATAAATGGAGAAAGTTCAGCACTGCTGCTACTCTCCCTAGAAGTGGCCGTCCTGTAAAGATGACTGCAAGAGCACAGCACAGACTGCTCAATGAGGTGAAGAAGAATCCTAGAGTGTCAGCTAAAGACTTACAAAAGTCACTGGCAAATGCTAACATCCCTGTTAGCGAATCTACAATACGTAAAACACTAAACAATAATGGATTTCATGGGAGGATACCACAGAGGAAGCCACTGCTGTCCAAACAAAACATTGCTGCACGTTTACAGTTTGCACAAGAGCACCGGAATGTTCCACAGCAGTACTGGCAAAATATTCTGTGGACAGATGAAACCAAAGTTGAGTTGTTTGGAAGAAACACACAACACTATGTGTGGCAAAAAAAAGGCACAGCACACCAACATCAAAACCTCATCCCAACTGTGAAGTATGGTGGTGGGGGCATCATGGTTTGGGGCTGCTTTGCTGCGTCAGGGCCTGGACGGATTGCTATCATCGAAGAAAAAATTAATTCCCAAGTTTATCAAGACATTTTGCAGGAGAACTTAAGGCCATCTGTCTACCAGCTAAAGCTCAATAGAAGATGGGTGTTGAAACAGGACAATGACCCAAAGCATAGAAGTAAATCCACAACAGAATGGCTTAAACAAAAGAAAATACGCCTTCTGAAGTGGCCCAGAGTCCTGACCTCAACCCGATTGAGATGCTGTGGCATGACCTCAAGAAAGCGATTCACACCAGACATCCCAAGAATATTGCTGAACTGAAACAGTTCTGTAAAGAGGAATGGTCAAGAATTACTCCTGACCGTTGTGCACGTCTGATCTGCAACTACAGGAAACGTTTGGTTGAAGTTATTGCTGCCAAAGGAGGTTCAACCAGTTATTAAATCCAAGGGTTCACATACTTTTTCCACCTGCACTGTGAATGTTTACATGGTGTGTTCAATAAAAACATGGCAACATTTCATTCTTTGTGTGTTATTAGTTTAAGCAGACTGTGATTGTCTATTGTTGTGACTTAGATGTGTGCAGAAATCCATATCATTCCAAAGGGTTCACATACTTTTTCTTGCAACTGTATATATATATTTGTAGTCGGGGCAATATGGCCGAACAGAGAAATCTTAGCATAATATAATCATAATATCCATAAGTTAGCACCAGTTTGTTGTGGTGTGCCGGAACCAACAAAGCAGTAGGCCTGTAATAAAAGTGGGACCACCTTAGAGGGTGTTATGAATAGAGGGAGTGGTGGTTGATTGGGGTTTAGGCCGATCCTGGTCAACAGTAGTCGTATGTATAGCATGAATTTAGCTGTGGTCAGAGTGTGTCAATGCAGTTCAAACAAAGGCTGTTGGGGTTGTTTTTGGACTGAATAAGTGAATAAGTGTCCAAAACTTTTACTGGGCACCATATATTGTGAGTAGGGTACAGAGGAATTTGAATAATGTGTCCTTCGGTGCTGGTTTTTTATTGTCTTAGAGAGAATGTAATGGTCGGTATTTTTTTGTAAATCATTAGTTCTAAGGTAGTCATGTGCGGTGATGGTCGTGGTTGTAAATTCACTGGGCCGTAAGAACCCGTAAAAAGCGAGATATAGGGCTGTTTTGATTGTGTTATTGGTCATGGGTTCAAAAGGAGATGAATCTAATAGGTTGGATAGAGAGTGGAATATGTTGTTGTCTATGGGTAGTCTTTGTGAGGGAACATGTGTATCTAATTTTTTAATGCCTCTAAGTAATGTTATTATTTGATATGATGTCAAAAAACCCGTAGTGCTAGGTTGTTGGATAAGCATATGGTGCTGGATGCCGGTAAGGTATAGTTTAATAGTATTAAAGGATAGTTTAAGGTTAATGTGGCAAAAAGAAGTAAAACCCAAAATCGTTTCTAACGCAAACATGTCGTGAACGTGAAACTCTGTGATAAATATTTTGAATACTTGAAAAGCCCTATCATAAGTGTCCCTAGTGTTTACGGAGAGTGCTATATGAGAAATGTGACGTGCGTGATCTAACAAGGTCTTTAATCCATTATCATATCTTGGAATAGAGGTGCAGGTGTCGCTCGTCTGGAAGCGTTGGGTAGTGTCGAGAGGAAAGCCTGGAAACGAAACCGAGACAAGTGATCAGCAGAAGTGTTTGTGTACCCCGGAATGTGTATGCATGTTATAAAGAATTGACACGTGGCCGCTACCCATGTGAGACGCCTTAGTAGTCTCATAATGACCAGTGATGCCGATCGGCCTTTATTGACAATATGGCATGTAGCCATATTATCTGAGTAGCACCTGACCGCGTGGCCAGACCAATATGGTCCCCAAGCAATGGCTGCCGCAACGATTACACTTCATGATAGTGACAGATGAGTCCCTGCTAATTGCCAAGCGGCTTGAGAGGCGCTACCTATGCGTGGGCCCGAGGGGAACGTATGAGGCCACCGAACGTTGTGGCGGGGTGTTGGCCTCTCGGTGGCAGTTTAAAGCATAAGATAGAATGGGAGTGCTAAGTGAGGCCCTCTCTATGCAACCATGCAAGACGGCTAGCTTTGATTGATTTGGCCCGAGGGGTGTATTCCTCAGACTATGAGCATGGGGGTGTTGGTCTCGCAGGACCACTAGCCTATGGATTAAGACCAGAATTTTTTTCCTAATTGGGTCACGTAACCTAGGATCAGTACCCCTCAGAACACGGAAAGTAATGGGTTCTGGCGTAGTACCTGATATGTGAGTCAGGCTGAGCTGTCAAGGTAGAAGTAACCAGCGACTGTAAGAGTCTCGAGATGTTTACCTGTGGACATGAGATTTGATATATAAACGTCTGACTGAAATGTAGTGGTATGGCCAGATCGTGGGCCTTTAAAACAAGAACCTACCCGACACTCTGCAGAGGGTATATTTAAACGAAAAAGATGACGGCTTGCGTGCTTGTAAAAGCTACCGTCCAACGGATAATAACCGTCATCTTTTTCGTTTAAATATACCCTCTGCAGAGTGTCGGGTAGGTTCTTGTTTTAAAGGCCCACGATCTGGCCATACCACTACATTGTGGTAATACATTGGCTGCACTCACCTGAACATGCATAAATGGGGGTGCTGCTGGGGGCAAAATAATACAAAACACAAGATCCAGCGCACTCACCTATCCACTAAACAGCAAAAAATATATCTTTTTTTTTTTATCTAAAATCCCTACCCCCGTGTAATTACATTTACTCACCAAATATTTTAATCCCTTTTAGGATAATTCCCCCCTTCAAATCCCCAGAAACGATAAATTAAATACACCCATTCAAGAGGGACCACAGGAGAGATACAGGGCCACAAAAGAGGAACACAGACCAAATGGGGCAACATGATGTACATACAGTGTAATGTGGACAACATCATATTGAATGGACCTACTGCTTAATAATTCACCATGATAAATAGATAAAAAAAAAAATCATGAAATTTATCCTGCAAGTCACGCAATTTAACCCTTTACCTTGTAGAGCAGATAGCACAGATAAGCCAGTTCTGGTATATTTTGCAGCAGAAAGATCCATACGAGACATTTAATCTCTCTTAAAATCTGTAAATTAAAATCAGCCATAGTTAGTGCCATCATTAATAAACGTTTAAAAAAATAAAAATAAAAAATCCAGAAACACTACTTGTACACATTTTGTTTTAGCAGAACGAGTGCGTCAGGATTCCAAGTAGCACAATGAGAACATACAAGGAACAAGTAAAGAACACTGAAAAGAATTATACAGAGACATCTGATTGTTTCAAATGCTTGGCAGATTCAGGGGTTTGCCAAGTTTTGCACTTGTAGACCTGAAGTTTGTTCCTCTGTGAACAAGTCTGTATAGTCCAGTGAACGTCTCCGCATTCTCCTTACCACGTTATTCACTAAAGTGAAAATTCAGAGTTAATTTCAAATTTAAGGTCTAGACAGCCAAACTGGAAAAATTCTCTAAACCAGCTATGCTTTCCATTCAGCTACTCTGGCCTGAAGTCTGAAATTCACTTTGAAATCTTACTTTAGTAAATAATGCTGTTAGACCTGGGAGAAGAAAAAAAGAAAAAGTGCTCCGTCTGAAAATTGAGGAGAAATGTCCAAAGCCGGTTAGATTTAGTATGTTTGTTCTTTTAAAAGTTTAATCTGTTTCAAGAACCATAGTATTATTATGAACTATTTTTGAATTTTGTAATTATATATATATTTTTATTATTATTTATTTTTCTACTGCAATTATATTTACTAAGACCTTCAAATGTATCATGTTGTGCAGACTTTTATTGCGCACTTGCATCCACTGTGCCTCCCATGGAATGTTATTCTGTTATCCAGGCAACACTTCTGATAGGTTTACTCTTTAAATTGTAAGCAATACATTCATTAGCTACACAGTCCCGTACTCACAAATAAACCTAGCTCTATAATTGAATAAAAATAAATTCATTTTAAAAAAAAGTTCTTCTGTCTGCAAGGCCTTGTAAACCGGAGATACTGCACAACACTTCCGCCCTCATGTGGTAGCCCAAAACATTACACCCGGATGTAAATGAGCACTACATTGTAGATTGAGAGACAGAGAGGTCAATACAATGTACTGGCAGACACACACACACACACACACACACACACACTCCTCCCCCCCCCTACAGAGAGGGGGAAGGTTGTGACAAGGGGTTTTCAGGGATTGTATGACAAGGGGTTTAGTGGTTTTTGAGGGTTATCCTCAGTTGGACATTATAAATTTGCTGACACTCATCCACTGAAGTTGGACAAGATGTAAATGAGAAGTTCCTCTTTACATTATACTGCATATAATGCGAGAATGAGAACTAAAAGCTTGTTCTATAACAGCAACTTAAAAGTCACACCTACCCCACTCCTCCCAATGGGTAGGCAAGTATATTCGGCAGATATTTTGTGTCTGATAGTGATTTTTCCCCCCCATTTTAGCGTGGTGTGAATATTTTTTCCACAGAGTATTCGTGAGAGAAACACTTTTATAAGCACTTCACCAATCCTTTGTTTTTTGTTGTTTCTTTAAAAAGGATATTGAAGGATACACTTTGTGTGGTGAGCTGCCAATTTAATTTGGTTTGTTTCATTAATAAAAAAAAAAAATTTTTTAAATGTATATACATTTTATTTGTGTAGTAGGAAGTGCCTTTATCATAGAAACCTTTTTGTTTCAGTACAGAACAGAAAACGTTTTACACGACATTCTGAATAGAACGCAATTAAACTGACACACTTACACCAATGATACCAACAGAAACCTTGATACAGGCCCAGATCAGTCCAATGCTCAGTAAGACGCTGTGAAGCAGGTTGATTTTATAGACGCCAGAAAATAAAACCAGCACTGAAAGGCACAGCTGTTGAGATAAAAATGAGAGAAAATGTAACTGCGAGATGAATGAAGTATTGAATAGTATCCTGTAGGTGTTTAAGAGGGCTTACCTTTTCTCGCTCGCTGCACAGCTCTCCCCATGTCTGCCCTGCCTCATTGGCAAAGATTATCAATCTTTAATATCTCAGCCAATCCAGTGCTTCCCCAGGGAAGCCGATCGCCACACTGCGCCAATAAAATGCTGCCTTTATTTGAGAGCAGAGAAGGACTTATTTTTCAACCCAGAAAAGCCTCCAGCGGCTGTTTAGAAGAAACTCACTAGAGGTGTATTAACACTGTAAACATTTCTGCTTCTGCAAAACTAATAAGGGGAAACTCTAAAACACCATAAACACAACAGATTGTTGTAGTGGTTATGGTGCAAAGAGCTTTCAAGTATGCTGGACTCTCCCAGCATCCACACCTTTGTGCCTACCAAGATTATGTACTTAATTAAAAAAAAAAAAATTTAAAAAAAATTACATATATATATCTATCTCTCTCTCTACGTTTGGACTCACAATTTGAATGCCAAGGGTGGCTTAAACCAGTATTTGCAGATGATCACGGCTATTCACAATTGTATTAATAATGTAAATGCAAGCCAGATGGGGGGAGCAGGTGTTTGCATTTTTCTGACTGCCTCAAGGGACTGGGTTTTGGGGAGCCCCAATAAGACTGCCCCCAAAGACTAGCTGCACCATAAACGCTACAATAAGCTGCTGTAGCTATTGGCTTAAAATGTCCCTTTAAATAAAGTAAATTTAGAAGTGAAGGATATGCACAGACCACATCTGTATGCAACTAAAAATATTCAGGGTCTTGAGCCAGCCAACTACCATGCGTGAAACATTAAACTGCATTATTAATAGGACAGAATGCCATAGATTGCTATTAAATATGAAGATCTGCAGCCAATTCAAGGCAGCGCAAATCCTTTCCGTATTATCCTAGCTAGTTTATCTCAGAAACTCAATTGCATCATCTCTAGATTGTCTGTAATGGTGTTGAAGAAAAGTTTTCTTTCTACACAAGGCTCGACCTGATACAACCTTTACGGTCTCACGGCACCCCAGAGGCAGATATGTACTTACATTGATTGCTAGCGATATACACAGATTACGGAGGGCATAAGGATTTGATAAACTTAGGATCACTTTACTAATGTGATAAAAGCATTGCTTATTTACTGGATATCAGGATGTGGACAAAAGCAATTTACGTCAGTTCTTGAGGGAAATGAGTGATAAAATATTAGACCATTAGCTTAAAAAATAACAAAAAAAAACACACACACACACACACACACACACACACACAACAGGGAAAAAAAAGCAGATCTAGAATTAACATAATTGAAAGTATGCTTAGTACAAATGCACCGGTCAGATGGAACAACTGAGGAGACTGATGCTCTGTGGTGACAGCTTTAATCTACAGGTTAAGTTAGGGCAATAACTAAGTTAAAAAACATGATCGGCCCTAAAGAACTCAATTCACACATTACCGGACAGATATACACAAATAAATAAATAATAATAAAAAAAAAGTTTTAAAAGTGTAATAAAAAGTGTTCTAATTTTATTAGGTAGACTTGAAAGGACAAAAACAATGGGGAAATAATTTTTTTTTTTTTTTTTAAAAACCCAACAACCCACAAGTGAAAGAGAGGGTGGCAGATGTGAGTAGGTAGCTAAGCTATATTTTATAACTTAATCCACTAGTGAGAAAATAAAAGTACAGTTGACATAATCTAAAATAATCAACAAGTGTCACACCTGACCTTGAAATTGGAATCATCAGTGCTTATAGTAAAAAAAAATTAAAAAAAAATAAATTTACAATAATATATATATAAATAAATTAAATATACAGGCCATAAATAATTGAAAGCAAAGTCGGGACAACTTTGGTCCGGTACAAACTCACAAACTAGTCAAGTCAAACTCAGAGTCAGGAACGTTAAGGGAAACCAGAAAGCAACACCATGTCAAATCTAGCCAGGTGATGAACAAAGATGGACACTGGACGAGCAGCCGATCTGATTTGGTGGGCAGGTAGGACGCAAACGCCTTCTCTGATCCTCTCCTTGGACGCGGAAAAGGCGTTTGACAGAATTGAATGGCACTACCTATTCGCGCTGCTCACAGCGATGCACTTTCCTCCCACATTTTTCACAGCAGTCCAAGCCCTCTACACCACTCCCAGAGCCCAAACGATGGTGCCGTGAGCATCCCCGCTCCCTTTTGAGCCAAAGAATGGCACCCGCCAAGGCTGCCCTCTGTCCCCTCTCTTGTTCATTATAGCCCTAGAACCCTTACTGCACTTAAGAGTCAACCCGAACATAAAGGGGATAAGGATGGCAGAGGAAGTATTTAAAGTCTTACGCGGACGATATACTGCTCACTCTCACTGACCTGAGAGACTCAATCCCCTACCTCCTAGACCTACTGGGAACCTAACACGTAGTATCGGGATATAAAATAAACCTAGATAAGTCAGTTGGCATGCCCCTCAGCATCCCAGACACAGACGTCCAAACGCTAAAACAAAACGGCAGATTTAAAAATCAGTCCGCAGCCCATTAAATACTTGGGTGTCAAGCTGACCCCAAACCATGTCGACCTATACACAGAAAACCATCAATGTCTGATCCACACCCTACTCATGGACCTTGACAGGTGGGATGAGAAACCCATCTCATGGATAGGAAGGCTGCACACTATCAAAATGAACCTGTTACCGCACCTCTTGTTCCTTTTCCAGGCACTCCTGGTTCGGGTAACCAAAGGTGACCAAAAACCATTGCAGACAGCAACAGACAACTTCATATGGGCAAAAAAAAGGATAGCACAAGATAGCAAGACAAACCCTATACACACCAAAAAGCAGGGGAGGACTTGGCCTTCCCCACATCCACCTCTATTACCTGTCGGTCCAGCTGGCACAAATAGTTGAATGGCACTCGCCACCAGATACCCACAGACGGTTGATCTAGAAACACTTCTCATGAGCACCGACCTCCCACAGTTCTGGATCTGGGTACCAAAGACCGACAGACCTGAGCTCCACACCACATGCCCTGCAATCCTAAACTCAATCAGGATCTGGGACATTACAGCGTGTTAATATGCACTTACGCACCCGACTTCGCCACTAACCCCATAACTCCGCAACAAAGCTTTCCCGCCCGGCTTATGTCCCAGAGACTTTAGGGGTCTGGAAGACACGGGGATCCAATGCAATTACCACCTATTCCGCAATTACCACCTATTCTGAACCTTTGATGACCTAAAAACCCTGGCCCCACTGACCACTAGGGACGACTTTCGGTACCTCCAACTTAGGGACTTCGCCAGGGGCCCCTCTGTTGGAGCGGCGGCCAAGGTCAAACCCACCTTCTACAAGACACTGTGTATGTCAGACGGACCACGTGCCGGCCTCATCACCCTCTTGTACACACAACTGAGTGCATCGACTAGTGAGGCTCAAACACCTACCTATGTCTCACAATGGGAGACAGAACTCCACCAGATCTTAGAGAGTGGGGAATGGCAGGACATCTGGGAGGCGACGACAAAGGCTTCCATTTGTGTCCTACACCAGGAACAATGCTACAAAACACTCATGCGCTGGTACACCACACCAGTCAAACTTTGTAGAATGGGAAAAACACCCTCTGACACATGCTGGAGAGGATGTGGTGAAAAGGGAACATACTTGCACATGTGGTGGACATGTGCAAAAGTAGTACGGTACTGGGATAACATAGCTAGACTCATGACAGAGATCCTGAACAGACCAATAGAGCCAGACCCATGGACTTTTCTTATAGCTAAACCACTCGACAACCTACTTAACAGAGAGCAAAAACTCCTAAATCAAATCAACCTAGCAGCTAGGAGAGCACTCACACAAACATGGCTCCAAGTTGACATGCCACAAATGGACAGGGTGACACGCAACATTAAGGAGGCACACCTTATGGACAAACTAACAGCACAGGTGCAAGACACATACCCACTCTTCCTCAAAATCTGGGAACCGTGGGAAGACTATGCTAACCGCTGAGTAAACCAGAGATTTGAAAATATAGCCTCTCATCCCCCTGGCTGTGGTAAGCTATCCTTATCCTCCCCTCCTTGCTCTCCACCTCTATCCCTCCTCTGCTCTTTCCCCATCTCCTCTCTTTCTCACTCTTCCTTTACTGCGGAGATACTCCAAAACATAATCGTTCGTGCATACTAAGCGCACAGAAAAATCGGGGTTGTACATGTACTGGAACAAACAGAGACCTGGAATTGTGGGGCACACACAAGCCGGAGGACGGATCTTGCATGATCACGTCGCTCCTAGTGACCATATCTTGCGAAATCTACACGCCTTATTGATAGGTGGCCAACTGTTGAGGGGACAACTACCTAACAAAACCCTGCTATCTGCATGTACCCTCTCTCCCTGTCCTCTGTAATGTGTGTGACTTACTGAATAAAATGTCCAATCTCTCAACTGATGATTACGCATGAATTAGCCAAGTAAGAATCTCAAAAAAGAAGAAATACCCTTCACGGGTAGCAGAAAAAGTTAACCACTAGTGTAAAATATGTAACGCCTAATGGTTTCATTTGTGTAACAGTGTGTATATGTTGCAAATTATTAGGCTTTTGCCCAAGCCTTTTTGCGAATGTTATATCGCTATCTTTGTCAAGAAGAAAAAATAAAGAATTTAAAAAATAAAATAATTAAAATCCCGCAGTAAAAATGATTTAGTGGTGTGCATGTTTAAAATAACCATATGGATTATAGTTACTAATCAACAATAAACAGAATTATTAAATATTCTTTAAATCAAAAACTCAACAGAGCTCCGTAAAATGGTTACAATGCTTGCAATTGAAGAGCATGATGGGATTTTGTAGTACCCAAGAGCTGGAGGGCTGCAGGCTATTTCAGCCATAATAAATATCAGGTGGTTTTACAGGATTTCAAAGCTAATTTCTACTATGAGCAACCTCCTATTTGCAAAAGGAATAATACAATAAAAACGTGCTTTTTACTGTACCTGAGCTTGCAGATCAAATGTCAGTAGGGAGATACAGCGGATCAGCCTTTTATACTGTAACTGCTGTTCCTCCAGAGCCCCCGAAACACGGAACGGCATCATATTCACATTGATCATCAGCCACAAAGAGAACGCAACAAGAACGAATCCACACGACACGATTATAGCAAATCGAGGCTGAGGAACACAAGAACGATAAAAAAAAATAAAAAAATACAATATGTATAAAAAGTAAAAATGCATGTAAAATAGAAGTATAGAAACACTGATTATCAACAGGGCTACTGACTAAAAACTGTCCATGGCTCATTATTTAACAAAAAGTGTCTTTTTAATGGTAGCAAGCTGAAGTCCTTTTTGGGTGTGGAGTGGTCTTTTAAGCCACAAGGACTCCAAATTGCAGCACTGCCATTATTTTTTTTCTGAGAGAGAGAAAGGAATTGTGGAAAAGCAGAGTAGGAAGATGTGAATATTCAAACTGGCAGCAAATTTAAAGCTGCATTTTCATAAATATACAATCTACAAACGTATGTATTCTGGGTAGGAACACTCCACTGCCCAAATACAAAATCACTGGTTAGTAGCTATACCCTCCATGAAAAATGCTTCAATAATAATTCAGTTAATTATGCATGTTTTTATTTGGGTAGATGTAAAAAAAAACAAAAAAATAAAAAAAAGCCTTCCCCTTCTAACCCCACCCAGACTTTCTGTGGCTGTCCAATCACAGACTTCCCAATGCAGCTTAATGAGAAGTCTTTGCAAGGCAGGTGCTCAATTGCGGCCTCTTGAGTTTAGCTCCACTGAGTTAAACTACCAGGAAGTAACAAAAAAAGGGTGGCTGACAACCAGGAGGGTGTAGCAAGGTTAAAGGAACACTATAGCATAAAGGAAATCAAATTTGTATTACCAACGCTATAGTGTCCCTCTCTATAGCTCTAAATAGGTTCCCCACCCAGAGTAAAATAAATAAACTTGCAAACAGCACGCGTGCATTCATAATTCCCCACAGGACACTTCCCTTGAGAGGGTATTGTTGCTGACCACGGTATGATCCTCGAACCCCTCTTAAGCGTGTCCAATGGGGGGAATAACGACATGTCCGTACCAGCTCAGGATGGAGTGGCGAGGGGATAAGGGGGAGGGTGGGGCGCTTAAACTAGTTAAGCTTATCTCTAACCAGTACAACTTCACACCTGAAACATGGAAGGATGACACGAAGTATTACACTATACAAGACATTCTTAAATCTTTCACTAGGGACCTGCGCGTCCTGACAAGTTGGTTATGTTGGTCCTACGCGACTTATGAATATTTGCCGATTTGGACCTGCGTGTCCATGTGTGTTACCTCAAATGCTTGCCTTTACGATAAATAAAAATCTTATTCACAAAAAAAAACCAAAAAACATTTAATTAAAAAATTTTAATTCCCCACAGGAAACTGTGGAGTCAATACTTTCCTATAGGGCTTTGGCAACATTTGACTGAATGTTACTAGGTCTGTGTGACGGACGCACATATAGTTGCTGTGAATAGGAGAACACAATCTTCGCACATCATACTTCAGCTTTAGAGGGTCTGTAATGTCCCTTTTAAATTCACTGCAATCAGAACATATATACACAAGAGAAAGCAGGGGATAATTTCCCTCATGCAAGTGGTGATTTTTGGCAAAATCTGACAAAACCAAAGTTAGCAATCTGTGATGGAAAGCAACACACCTCTATCTCTCTCTGACTTGAAAAAAAAAAAAAGTAATTTGGATGTAAATTACAGTATATGATCGTACATTGCATAGCCTGCCACAATAGGCAGTTTGTGATTATATATAAACCACAAATATAGAGACGCGGCAGCTTTCCTTTTGCTAGCTCTCTTACATACGGTTGTACTGGAAGCTACTCAGTTTGCACCACACAATAATGTTGCAGTGGCTCCATGTCATTATGTAGCAGGCAGGAAACTTTGGAACAATATAACTGGCCAGTCAAATATTCTTTTGCACATGCAGAAAAATTAAAATAAAATAAAAAAATGCAAATTAAACTTACTAGTATCTCAGGTTTTAGCTCATCAGCAAGGACAGCGTAATTCACAATAGATCGGGTAATTTCCAGTAAAATAGATACTATAAAGGCACCGAGCTCATTGCGATTATCTTGCAGGATTCCTCGAGTGATATAATAGATGCAAAACACTGAGGACAAAATGTATCAGTTTATCATGAGAACACCATGTGATCAGATTTTCATTAACATCACACACACACTTGCACATGGGTGCATTCACACTACATGAAGACATGCATTCACACTATATATAAACAATTACATAGTTACATAAATTACATTGGTCACATTTACTTTAAAGGGACATTATAGTCACCAAAACAACTTTAGCTTAATGAAGCAGTTTTGGAGTATAGATTATGCCCCTGCATTCTCACTGCTCAATTGTCTGACATTTAGGAGTTAAATCACGTTTCAGATGTAAAGTGATTTTTTTACTTCCTGTTCAGCCTCATACACAGACACTGGAGGAGCTGGGACAGCATTGAGTTTTACACTCTCTACAACTGTTCATGTAGTCAAGTAGAGGTGGCTGTAAAGGCTAAAGGGGACACTGGCCAATACTCCATGCTCTTATCACCCCAACAGCCTATTTAAAGGGTTTTTTTGTGCGCTTAAAACCAGGTGCCCTCAAGTGGTCAAGTTCATGTAGGCCCCTGTTTCTTTCAAAGCAGCACATGTAGGAAGGTCAGCAGTGTTAACTTTATATAGGAAAAGTTGAGGTCAGCTTCACTTTAATAGTGTACAGATCAATACATATTAAGGGACTTAAAGGACCACTATAGTCACCCAGGTGCCAGGTCCCACAGATTTTAACCCTTCAGATGTAAACATAGCAGTTTCATAGAAACTGCTATGTTTACATTGCAGGGTTAATCCAGCCTCTAGTAGCTGTCTTCCTGACAGCAGCTAGAGGCGCTTCCCCGACGCTCAATACGAAAATCGCATTGATCACACAGAATGTCCATAGGAAAGCATTGAGTAATGCTTTCCTATGGGTAGTTTGAATGTGCACGCCTGCTCTGGCCGCGCATGCGGCTCCACTTGGGAGCTCACGTTGGAGGGGAAGGAGAGGTCACCAGCGCTGAGGGAGACTGGCGCTGGATAAAGCTAAGTGGATGAAGTGGTTTTAACCCCTTCAGCCCAGTGGGAGGGGGCCCTTAGGGTGGGGGGGGGGGGGGGGGGGGGGAAACAAGGACTATATAGTGCCAGGAAAATTATTTTGTTTTCCTGGCACTATAGTGGTCCTTTAACGATACACCCTGAGAGGTCGGACATCTCCTGTTGTGCCATATCCACATGCACAGCAGCTGTGGAGAGGGGAAGGTCCAGTGCTGGATTACAGGCAAGTTTTATGGGGGTTTTTTCATCCTACTTACCGGTAAAAGCTGCAGGAAAGGCACACTTTTTCTTAGTAGAAAAAGAGCCTGTCCCCTGGATTTGTTTAAGCAGTAGTTCTCTTTATTAAGAAATAGAAAGATAGAAAGATAGTTTCGCTATAATTTCCCATTCCTTTTTTAATATCCTGTCTCAGCAGAAAGCCAAAAAAACAAAAACAAAAAGAGGAAGTTTACAGTTCAACTGCACGTGAAACAATACACCATACATAATTCGGAAACTGTGGATCGTGTGCATAACCAAAATTTATGGAGGAAAAAAACCAACAAATTTTTACTTACCATAAATTATTTTTTTCTTAATATGGTGGCAGTACCTGTGGGTTGTGTGTACAAGATAGGAGTTAATTAAAAGTCCCTCCTCTTTATCCCATAAAGGGCTTCCCCCAGCAAACCCACCTCAGTCGTAGCAAGAAAACACACCACACAAGTCAAATACAACAAATACATTTTTAATTCAAAGGGAGGGAGTATTGTACTGCCACCAGATTAAGAAAAAAAAAAAAAAAAAAAGTATTTACTGTAAGTAAAAATTTCTATTTTTTCTGGCATATGGTGGCAGTACCTGTTGGATATAGCAAGATTGCCATTGGGTGGGCATTACGCCACAACTGCTTGAAGTACCTTACGCCCAAATGCAGCTTCAGCGGATGAGAATACATCTAGCCTGTAATGCCTGGTGAAGGTTTTGAACGATGACCAAGAGGCCGCCTTGCAAATTTCTTTGGGTTATGCAATAGCCTTTTCTGCCCATGATGTGGACATTGCTCTTGTGGAATGTCCTTTAAGAAAAGTAGGTATAGGAAGGTTACTGTAAGCATACGCCATTTTGATTGTATCAACCAACGAGAGATAGAATTACGAGAGGCTCTTTCCCCTTTAAATTTCCCTTGGAAATTAACAGGTGATCAGATTTTCTATAAATCGGCAGTTCTTGAAAGGTAGATCTATAGAGCTCTTCTAACATCCAATTTATGCCATTTTAGTTCCTGCGGCAAGGTGGCATTATTGCAGAAGGAAGGTAAAACGATGGGCTGATTAACAGCTCTAGAAGCGATAAACTTCGTAAGGAATGAAGGCTTAGTATGGAGCACTACCTTATCTTCATGGAATATAATGAATTTGTCCAATGAAGAAAGAGCGTGAAGTTCCCCTACTCTTTTGGCAGACGTGATGCCTAAGTGAACCTGAGCCCAGCACATAATGTCGGTGCATAGCCGAAACAGACTTTCGAATCTGGTGCCACCTTGTCTGTTGATGTAAGACCACTGTGTTGTTTTCTGACTGTATTCTTACGGGCCTCTTTTCTATCCAAGATCTGAATCAGTGAAGGGCATGAAAAACGGCCTTCAATTCTCTAATTTGTTGACCTTTTTTTGTCTTCTGTGGACCAAGTATCTTGGCACATTAACAAATTTAGAGGAGCGGCCCAGCCTAAGTTTGACGCATCTGTGGTGACAACCACCCATTCTTTCGGTCTGAAGGTTAGACCTGCCGAAAGGAAACGTAAAGTTTTTCACCAGTTTAACCAAGCTTTCACCTGAGGAGATATAAATCTAAGTCTTCCTCTCTTTTTGACCAAGAAGAGAAGTTTCCCACTGAAGGCCTGATTTCTGAGTTTGCCCATTTGACTGCGGGAATTGATGAGGTTAGATATCCCAGAACACTCATTGCCTGTCTTCTAGAAGAATAATCTCTTTTCTGTAAATAATCGGGCACTTTCTTCTGGATTGTCTTTGTTTTGTCTATAGTCAGATGTAGAGATAACGTTCTTGAACATATCTCAAATCCCTGGAATTCTATTTTTCTTGAAGGAAGTAGAATCGACTTCTTTAAGTTCAGTATCCAACAGTGTTTCTGAAGCACTTGGATTGTGAACCGAACCTTTTCCAACAGCAAACTTCTGGAATTTGCTGTAAGCAGTCAATCGTCCAAGTAGGGAATGAGCTTGACACCCCGCTCCCTTAGATAACCTGTTATGGGCGTAAGAACTTTTCAAAATATTCTTGGGGCTGATGACAAACCGAAGGAGGGTTTTGAACTGGAAATGTAAAATACCTTTTCCCCTTTTTATGGCGAATCTCAGGAATCTTCTTGAGATCAAGCTTTACCATAAAATCCCCTTTCCAAAGAATTTGAGTCACAGAAGTAATGGTTTCCACTCTGAACCTTTGGTAACGAAGAAACTCGTTCACATTTTTTAAATCTAGGATCGGCCGAAAGGAATGGTCTGGTGTCGAGATTAGGAAGAGAGACTTGAGTAGACCCCCTTGAAATTCCTGGGTCACCGGAACTTTTTCTATGACCCCTTTTTTTAATAGCAGAACCGCTTCTGCAAACAGAGCTTCTGATTTTTGGAAGGCTAGATAAAGGGAAGTGAGGAATTTTGTTTTGGGCAGGTTTGGAAAGTGCAATCGGTACCCTCTTTTTACCAGATTTAGAATCCATGGACTGCTTATAGTTTCTTCCCATCTTTTGAAGAAATGCTGGATTCTGCCTCCTACTCTTGTCAGATCTATCCCCTTTTTTTCTCCTCAAACCTCAGATTTTTTTCCTCTTTTTGGAAAATAATGAGGCCTATCCTGGTAAGTTCTTCTATTCATATACTGGAAATTTTTATAAACAGGCTTCCAAGAAAATTTCTTGTCTTGAGGAAGGGCTTTTTTCATCTCAGACATCTGTTTAATGATCTCCTCTAAGGTAGACCCGAACAGCTTTTGTTTTTCCAATGGGAGTTAACAGAGGACCGATTTTGAGGCTGTATCCGCCGTCCAGGCTCTAAGCCACAAGGCTCTGCGGGAAACTGAAGATAAGCCGATGATTCTGGAAGCCAACTTGAGCACTTAATTCATCATATCCATAATAAATGTATTAGACAATTTCAAATGTTGTAGCAACCTAACCAGTTGTTTGTCTGGAGAGTCCAACATCATCTCCTCTAAAGATTGCAACCTCAAGTTACTAGCGCTGGATATTGCTGCCCCTGCCAGCAAAGCTTTACATTGGAAACCGGTCGACTGGAAAGCATGCCTGCAGGAGGTCTTTGCCCTCTAGTCCATAGGATTCTTTAAAGCCGCTACTTCCCCTATCAGAATAGTGGTCTTTTTAGAAAGCTGAGCCACCTGGATATCCACTTTAGGCAATTCGTCCCATCTAGCATCATCCGTAATCTTGAACAATTCCTTAAAATGCCGGGAGATAAAGGCTCGCTTTTCCAGGTTATCCCATTCCCTATAAAGAAGGTCAACTAGGACTTGAGGTACAGGGAAACCTTTCTTGCCCTTAGCAGTATCTTCCTGCAACAAACTGATTTACTTCCTTAGTTCATCAGGTGGGAACCCAGACTCCACACAAGCTGATGAACTAGAAACCTCTGAGTCAGCAGTAGACGAACATTCGTCAGAAGACATGTCAGAATTAGAAGAAGACCTCCTGCTTTTCCTGCCTCTAAGGACTACCTCAGGCACTGCAGCAGAAACCTCATGTGACTCTTTAAAATAATCCAAAGTCTGAGCCAGGATATCCTAAAACCAGGACAAGAACGATTGCATATCCTTTTGTTTGGATTTTTCCAAAGACATTGCTGCACATTGATTACACACTTTACTCCTAGTGCCATGCGGTAGGGGGGTGGAACAATCATTGCAAACTAAATGTTTGGCTTTGGATGAGGCCTTCCTAGTTGCAGGAGTAGGCATGTCTATTTTTGCTGAGGGCTAGACATATCTGAAACATAACAGAAATATACCTTTAAGACCCTAAACCGTTTAACAGAAAGCCAAGATATTCAAAGTAAAGATTTTTAAAATTTTACCTCAAAACCCTTTGAGCCGTGTGGGGGGCTGGTGACACAGAGACTCCTTTCTGACCAGCATTTAGCTGCCAGAGGGAAACCGCACAGCATTTATGCGCCCATGGATTCAAATCCAGAATCATTTCCTGAAAGATCCGGTTCACGCGTGCAGTGGCGTACCTGGAATTTCAGTGGAACGCAACACCACGTGCGTTCCACCGCAGTGCACAGGGCCTGTAGCATCATGAAGGTGTCCCCTGGCCCACCCATAATCGCAAAGCCATAACATACACGGCACAACATAAATAACTGAAAGGGCTTCGGGACCTCCATGGACAGAGCCATGCCGTTCAGCCTACCACCCGGGCGGCTATCGGGCTCCCTCCCCCAGACATCAACCAGTGTGCCTCACCTCAAGTAGAAGCTTGATTCGTCTCGTGCTGGGACAAGGAAGAACTCAGGTGGGTTTGCTGGGGGAAGCCCTTTATGGGATAAAGAGGAGGGACTTTTAATTAATTCCTATCTTGTAGATGCTTGTCCCAATTTAGGAGGCACAACCCATAGGTACTGCCACCATATGCCAGAATTTTTTTAAAGGAACACTATAGTCACCTAAATTACTTTAGCTAAATAGAGCAGTTTTAGTGTATAGATCATTCCCCTGCAATTTCACTGCTCAATTCACTGTCATTTAGGAGTTAAATCACTTTGTTTCTGTTTATGCAGTCCTAGCCACACCTCCCCTGGCTATGATTGACAGAACCTGCATGGAAAAAAAAACTGGTTTCACTTTCAAACAGATGTAATTTACCTTAAATAATTGTATCTCAATCTCTAAATTGAACTTTAATCACATACAGGAGGCTCTTGCAGGGTCTAGCAAGCTATTAACATAGCAGGGGATAAGAAAATCTTAATTAAACAGAACTTGCAATAAAGAAAGCCTAAATAGGGCTCTCTTTACAGGAAGTGTTTATGGAAGGCTGTGCAAGTCACATGCAGGGAGGTGTGACTAGGGTTCATAAACAAAGGGATTTAACTCCTAAATGGCAGAGGATTGAGCAGTGAGGCTGCAGGGGCATGTTCTATACACCAAAACTGCTTCATTAAGCTAAAAGTTGTTCAGGTGACTATAGTGTCCCTTTAAATAAATAATAAAAAATAAAATAGTATGTGCGTGGAACAGGCTTCAAAAGGAAAAAAAAAATAAAAAAAAAATAAGAAAATATTTCTAAAAACAAATAAAACTAGCCATTTAGGAAATCAAAGAGGTAAACAAGTATACTATTTCGATAGGCCTAGCTGTGGGGGAAAAATAAAAAATAAAATTCAAATAATGAATACTTTTCTGTCTCCCTTACCAGCTCCTATCAACTGAATGAGCGACACTGTGAAGTCTTCGTTACATTGTTCCACAAGGTTGGAAATGATTAATCCTATCACAACAATCAGAGACAGGATTGTGCCGACAAAAAATAGTTTAATTATACAGCCCAACTCTGCCCAGCGCTTGATCTAGAATTGATAAAAGAATACATTTAGAAAAAAATATATAATTTAAAATAATAATAATAAGAAAAAAAAACATAGCTATATGAATATAAATAGGAAGGGAAAAATCGTATCACAGCTATTTATAAGGTGGGCACTAGACGGCCCAGTGGCTCTGTACCTACTGTGAGCCCATTCCATTATGTCCAGGGGGGAGAATAGAGGTTCTTTGAACTTCTTTCCTCACCCGCCCTAGTACAACATTTCTACATAGATGCCCGTGCACGCCAAAGTTTACCCAGAGCATCACAAAGTAGATTTTGTGGGACTCTGCTTCAGCTGACATTGTGGTTATGGCGCCAGAATTACCCTTGTGCCCTTCCACTGTAAGCAGTCACACGGTTTGGCAACTTACATGGAGTTAGGCAGTCACCAATTACCTCTTCTGCAGCTTGGAAGCTCATATAGGGTCAGCTTATTGGTTGAGAGAATCAGCTAAGCACTCTCAGCCAAATAACGGTACTGCCAGGCTTAGTTCAGTGAAGTGAGGTTACAGGGGCAGAGGAGAAGGTGACTGGCAGACTCCAGGTATTTATCAAACATTTCGCAGACAGTTTTACTACTTAAACACCAAAAAAACAGAAAAAACTTAGGACCTTTCTGGTGTTTCCACCTTCTGGGTCCTTAGAATTTTAAAGAGTGCAGTGCTATATAATAATGTGAGGTGATATTGTGTTTTCCAATATTTTATAAAAAACACACTTACCCTCTACAATAATCTCAAGAAATTATGTATATATAAAACAAGAAGAGAAAATATATACAGATAATAGTGCAGTATATTAAAAAATTGGAAGACTTGCATGTAAGTGACAGATATGTCTAAACTCACATTTTCTAGAGCCTTTTCTAGTTTTTAGGCTCTAAACTTCTGAGCGTCTTGTGTCTTTTTAGGTGGACTACACAACCTCTTTCTCCAGGCAATGGTATATTCCTCTCCACAGCATATATGGAAGACACAAATGTATCAAACTAAGTGTAGTATCTCCAATAATAGATGTATTTTAGAGAATATAAAATTCAAAGTGCTCACCTTTTTTAGAGCCTTTTGATAACTGGCTCTAAGTATACCAGCTTGGTGTCAATTTTGGGGTGACACTGCCCCCTTCCCTGGAATTATTTTCAGGATCCAATGGGATGATGTAAAAAAAGGAATATTTATTATAATAAAAATGTATATATAAGAATTAACTTTATAAAATCACATGTATATAAAATAACAAAATAATTAGAACAGAATAATAGAATATGGGTGGTACAAAAAATAAGTCCACTTTAAGCTAAAACGCATTTCGCCGATCTCAACGGCTTCCTCAGTCAGCTTTCATGAGACTTTCACTGTTCCTGTGTTTAAAAGGCTTCCATTCCCGCCGAAATTCTTGTGGTCCAATGACTTCCGTGACGCGATTTCATTGCCGTCGCGTCACTTCCGGTTTTTCGTAACTTTCAGGTCCATAGTGCTTTGTGCGCAACTTCCGGTCTGCGTCATAGGGGAACCCGATCAACGGAATCCCTATTGCACAGTTCACATTCGAGCCTTATCGGCTCGTGTCAACATAGAATGCACGAAAGGAAAAGAATTATAAAAACATTGAGGCAATATGTTTGATGTCTTTTTCGATACATAGTGTTATACATATATAAGTATAAAAAAGTTTTTTATATTTATTGTTTTCCAGTTAATCTTTAGTATCATATAAGTAACCACAAAAAAATTGATTATAAAGTGCTAAATTTAATGTTGGGATGTATCCATAAAATGCAAAACAGAAGGAAAATCTTAATTAAAAGATTATGGAAAAAAGTAAAAGTAGTGTATATTAAATGATAATTTAAAAACATAAATGGGAGTAACGAAAAAAAAAAAAGGATATAGAAATGAATTTAAATTATATATATGAAGTAATGAAGAATAAAAATAAAAATAGAAATATAAATGGAAAATAAAAATGAAAATAAAATAAAAATAAAAATAATAAAAATAAGAATAAAGGGGGGCGTGGCCTGACCGTCGAGAAGACTGGACGTGTCTCCTTAGAGCTCCGTGCTACACGCGCCCAAACAGCTAACAAAAGCGACCCAAAGTGTTTTTTTGTCCACTTTCCCACCTTACCCCATACCATGGAGAAGAGGGTGTCCAAAAAACACCCTAAAAAGTTCTCTGAACCGGGAGGCTCCGTCCTGGACCTCCTGACCGCTCCTAAGCAAGGCCGGCCTGAAAGCCAAGATGGCGACGGGGGCTCCTCACAGGCATCGCCTCGTGGTAACAGGGAGTCCTCGTCAGCCGACCACGACACCGTCCTGTTTAAGCTGGCAGAAGTCCGGACCTTCTTGGCCGGTGAGATCGCCAAATCGACGGCAGTCCTACAGGCCGACATAGGAGCCCTGGGGGAACGGACCGCGAGGCTGGAGGAACGTATGGACGCCACTGCTCAGGCCTACAATGCGGTTGTGGACCGGGTCAACCACCTCACCGCCCAGGCGGTAGATACAGACCTGGCAATGGAGGACATGGCGAACCGCTCCCGGAGGAACAACCTCCGCATACGGGGCCTGCCTGAAGACAAAAGCGAAAAGCTGCAGGAGATTGTGATCTCCGCCCTGAGACCTCTCCTCCCAGATCTGCCAGAGGAACGCTGGCACATGGAACGAGTGCACCGGGCTCTACGCGCAGTGAGGGCAGAGGGGAATACCCCGAGGGATGTTATAGTCCGGTTCCTGCACTACCGTACAAAGGAAGAGCTCATGAAGAAGGGCCGTGAGGGCCCCATCAGGTACGCCGGCACCTCCATTTCCCTGTATCACGACCTTGCTCCCACTACGCTTCAACGCCGAAGGGACTGGCGACCCGTGACGGAGGCTCTTAGAAGTGCGGGCATACGGTATGCCTGGGGCTTTCCCTTCAAGCTCCTTACGTTTCAGGGAGACCGGGTACATGTCCTGTTGCCGGGAGGTGATCCCCTACGCCTGTTCCAGAGTCTGGGCGTCCAACCTCCCCCGAACCTCCCCAACCTGGCATTGGGCCCGGAGGTGCTTCCCCAATTGAGGCCGGACTGGCAGACAGCGGATCCGAGAGGCCACCGTTAAAGTTGGAGGGTATCGTATTGTGTGGCCCCCTCATTCAGTTGCGGGTGGGGACTGGGTGAGGGTCTGACACTGGGTGGGCCTTTATTGCACAATGAAGCTTTGGGAGGGACACCCGGGCCTTCTCCTACCCCTCTTATCCGTGGCCCATAGTGTTCGCTCTACCACAGCTTTTAATACTACTGATGAAGGGGCTGTGATTTGGGAGGGGGTTGCCGGGACCGGGGCCGGATGGACAATCCAGGTGACCATAGGACTAAGGGGACCTTTTTTTTTTTTTTTCTCCACACGTACACTTCTGTTACCGACCTACAGAGCGCCACGCAAGACACGCGGAGGCTATCAGGATATGGCTTTCCTCCATATTTCGGGACACAAAAGAACTTGTGGTACTGCTAATTTTTTGTTTGTGTTTTCAACACCTGACTTTCTTTACGCCCCCTTCCCTCCTCGTATTGGGTATGCGATGATTGCATGCAGGTGACTTGTAATGTGTATGGTAAGGGTACTGCATGCATGATATAAAAAGAAAGGAAAATGGCGTGGCGCTCTGTGGGTCGTACACTTCTGTTACCGACCTACAGAGCGCCACGCAAGACACGCGGAGGCTATCAGGATATGGCTTTCCTCCATATTTCGGGACACAAAAGAACTTGTGGTACTGCTAATTTTTTGTTTGTGTTTTCAACACCTGACTTTCTTTGCGCCCCCTTCCCTCCTCGTATTGGGTATGCGATGATTGCATGCAGGTGACTTGTAATGTGTATGGTAAGGGTACTGCATGCATGATATAAAAAGAAAGGAAAAAGGGGGGGGAAAAGGGAAAAAAGGAAAATGAAAAGGGAAAAAGGAAACAAAAAAGGGAAAGAGAAGGGAAGGGAAGGAAAAGAAAGGGGAAAAAGGGGAAAAAGGAAGAAGAAAAGGGAAGGGAAATAACCCCCACAAAGACATAGGCCCCCCCCCCCTTTTTGAAAAACGGGAATGCATAACGGGAACGAGAATAGGGGTGGGGTGGGAGAATAGGAAACAGGGAAAGAAAAGTGGGAGAGAAAAAAGGAAAAGGATGGAGAGAGGAGGATGGAGGAGAAAACGGAAACAAAGAGAGGGAGAGGGGGGATAAAGGAGAAGGGAGGGAGTGGGGACGAAGGAGAAAAGAGAGAAAGAATAAAATGAAAAGAGTGTAAGAGGGAGAAAGAAAAAGAGGAAAAGGTGACAGAAATCGCAAAAGGGGGGAAGAGGGAACGCTGCAGAAATAGGGATAACATAACATAAAATAAAACCACAAAATGAAACAACAAAGAAAAGGAAAACACACCAGATAAATATAAATGATCAACATTGAAAGAGGGGGAAGTAGGAGCAGAGAGGTAGTACAGCAGAAAAGGGGGAGGGGAGCATGAGGAGAGGGGAGAAGGTGAGGGAGGGGCATGGGAATGAGAATATGCAGACCTAAGACGGAAAAGGAATGAGAAGAAGAAGAGGGGGAAAGGAGAGGAGGGGAGGACATGAAGGAAAAGAGGACAGGGAGGAGGATGGTGTCGATGAAGAGGAGGGAGGTGACCCTGTGAGGGTTGATGGTCACTGCTAGCTAGAAGGTGTCAAAGCGACATACGCAAAGGGATACTCGAGAGCGCAGGCCGGAAACTAATGACCATGTACAATTTATACAGGGATTTCTTGTGTATACTATAACAGTACGTGAATATAACTGATGGGCAGCCGGTTGGGCGATAGGAAGAGTACTGTACGCTTTGCAATAGGGGTGGATGATGACTATGGGAGAGTGTGTTTCCCCTCAATAGGAAACTGGGAGAAAGGTGACCATATGGCAAAATGTAGAACTAAACCATGCCATGAAGGATAAGGGTTGTGTTGAAAAGAAGGAGTGTGCGCCTTGATGGAGGGGTTTTGTACCTTCACACAGATGGGTATGTTCTCTTGCCACTCATAGCAGATGCACCCCCTACTTAATGTTATGAAATTATGCAGTCATTTACGACAAAATAATACTGGCTGGTCGAGTTTGGAAGGGTATAGGGGGGGATGTGGGGTAACTCTTTTTTTTTTTTTTTCCTTTCTCCTATAGGGTCATAAATATAATCGGTTTTAATAGGTTGATCCCTCATATGGTCAGCCGGTATGTTCTCCCTGCGGGGAGTATTGTATAATAGATAGAGGCCTAGGACCTAATCCGGACGGAATGGTCCTCTAGTGTGGCCCTAGTGTGTGACGGCTTTTGTGATTGCCAATAACCGGGTATAGTCCCGCAACCCCAACCTAAGGGGATAAAGTGTACATAGTGAGTATGGACCCAGTTGCATGGTCATGGGCCAAAAGCGGTGGGGTAGGGGATGGAAGTTTTGATATGGCTCTCTTGACGAGCATTTAGTGGTCACTCAAGATATGAGAGGGCGTGTGGGAGACGAGGCTCAGAGCTCCACAGCTCCTCCCAGCGTGATTACAGAGGAGAAGTGGGAACGTGCTCCCCACGTGAATCTGGCGATAGGTAAGACCAGATCTCTCGGGCATCTTCCAATGCCCTTTATTCATCTCCAGTTTACCTTTCTCTTTTCTTTCCTTTTCTTTCCTTATCTAGGGGGCGGGGGAGTACTCCCCGAAGTAGTGGGCTTTAGGCCTGACCCTGGTCCGTCAATGTCAAAAGAGGATACCATAGTCAGGACGCCTAACCCAAATGACATGATAGACAAGGGCTTGCAGAGCGACGGACAAGCTATAGTCACAGTTTTAAGCAGTAGGGAGGGACACTCCACGCAATGGAGATTAAGATCATTACGTTGAATGTTAAAGGCCTAAACGGCCCGAAAAAGCGCCGTCTAATGTTCAGAGAGCTGAAAAGAATGAAGGCGGATATCGCTTATCTGCAGGAAACTCACATTCCTAAACAAGCTAAGTTCAGGCTACGTGACCGCACATACGCAGGGACATACGAAGCGAGGTCCCATCGTAAACGTAATGGAGTGGCTATTCTCGTTAGCAATAGCTGTCCCTTCCGAATGACCTCCCAAGACATAGACCCAGACGGCCGCTACGTCATTGTATCAGGAACCTTACAGTCCCATACCATGCACCTGCTGAATATTTATGCACCGAACAAACCGGACTCCACCTTCTGGCACACATTGCAGGATAAAGTATCAGCGTTGCCACATGGCATAGTTGTCATGGGGGGGGACTTTAACGCGGCCCCGTGCCCTGCTATGGACAGGAGCTCTAAAGATGGAACACCAAGGTCCCAAGGGAGAGGCAGGCAAGACCAGTTACTTAGAAACTTTATTACTACTACGGGACTGATAGACATTTGGAGGGCTCATCATCCAAGTACCAAGGACTACACTTTTTATTCGGCTCCACATGGTACGTATTCCAGGATCGACCTATTCCTCACGAATGCTGCAGGTCTTTCACGCACTGTAGGCTCACAAGTTGGTAACATTTCTTGGTCGGACCATGCTGACGTCTCCATCACACTGGGCAATCTGTGTGCAGCTTCACCGTGGACATGGAGGCTCAATACATCATTACTTCGGGATCCTGAAGTGGTGGCACAGGTTAGGAAGGAGTTGATAGATTACTTTGGTACGAACGACACCCCAGACGTGACGGCGAGTACAATATGGGCGGCACACAAGGCTGTAGTGAGAGGGACACTGATCAAGATAGCCACCAGAAAGAAGAAACAGAAACATCAACAGCTAGAGACTATGCTGGGACAGCTACGAACCCTTGAATTAAAACACCAAACGACCCCGACCGAAGAGCTCTACAGACAATTAGAAACAGTGAGGAGAAACATCCGTACTCTATTGCTAGACGACACGGCCAGGTCCATGGTGTGGTCAAAACGTACCTACTTTGAAAAAGCAAACAAGATGGACACACTTCTGGCCAGGACACTACGACCCCGACAGGAACGGTCTCATATCACGGCCATACGACACCCGGATGGCACGACGAAATCAAAGCCGACGGAGATAGCTGAGATTTTTGAGGATTACTATAAACAATTATATCACCACACCCCGACAGGGGGTACCCGGCCTGAACAAGAGGAGGAACTTATCCTGCAGTATCTAGAGCCTTTGGGTCTGAAGAAACTAAGTAGGGATATGGCGTACAGTTTAGCAGCAGAAATCACTGAAGAAGAAGTGGACAGGGCCATCTCAGGCCTGAAGGGCAACAAAGCGCCGGGACCAGATGGGTTCGATGGCACATATTACAAGACTTACAGGGAGGAGCTTACGCCGCGCTTGGTGAAGCTTTTTGCCTACCTGAGGCAGGGCGGGAATTTAGATCCTGACATGACCATGGCTACGATCGTACTACTACCTAAACCCGGAAAGGACCTGCTCCAGCCCACGAATTACAGGCCTATTTCGCTCATTAACCATGACATGAAGATCCTAGCGAAAGTGCAGGCGGATAGATTGAATCCGTTGCTGGCCTCACTCATACATCCAGACCAAGTAGGTTTTATCCAAGGGAGACAATTATTTGAAAATACAAGGAGGAATGTTGACCTGATATGGAAACAAGAGATCACCAGGACACCCACCCTGATAGTGTCTATCGATGCCGAAAAGGCCTTTGATAGGGTTCGGTGGCAATTCCTGTTCTCCGTTTTAAAACATTTGGAATTTCCGGTGGAATACATAACGGTGGTAAGAGCGATGTACCATGAGGTGAGGGCACAAGTGCTGATAACTGGAGCCCCACTGAAACCTTTTCGTTTATTTAACGGGACCAGGCAGGGTTGTCCGCTTTCCCCCCTTCTTTTTGTCTTAGCACTGGAACCCTTGATGCAAACAATACGTAAGCATCCCAACATTAAAGGGGTCAGAGTTGGGAATAAAGAATTCACCGTCTCGGCATATGCTGATGACGTCCTCCTGACCGTAACAGACCCGGTTACTTCGATGTCGGCGTTACAAGAGGTAATGACAGCATATGGAACAGTGTCCGGTTATAAAGCAAATATGCACAAATCCAGTGCTATGTCAGTGGGCCTATTGGAAACGGAAACAAAGGAAATACAGGAGACCTTCCATATACGGATGGAAAAGGTTTCTCTGACATACTTAGGTATCCACCTGACGGCAGATCCGGAAAGACTATACTCTGCGAATTATACTCCGATGCTCAGGGCTTTAACGCAAGATCTAGAAAACTGGGTGGATAAACCCATCTCCTGGATAGGTCGGATAAATTCAGTCAAGATGAATATCCTCCCACGCCTCTTATTCTTATTTCAAGCACTACCTGTTCAACTTACGAAAGCACAACTATCCCCACTACAAAAAGCGATAGGGGATTTCATATGGCAGAATAGGAGGCACAGAATATCAAGAAAGATCCTGTATAGACGCAAAGATAGAGGGGGGCTTGGCTTACCTAATCTATATTTCTACTATCTTGCAGCACAACTGACGCAGATAGCCATGTGGCACTCCCCACCGGAAGAAAGAAGGTGGGTAGAGGTTGAGTCCATGCTGGTAGGATCGGATATACCCCAATTTACGATGTGGGTCCCTAAAGAACATCGGCCAATGATAAGAGTGACCTGCCCGGCTATACTCAACTCACTACATATCTGGGACATGACTAATGCCAAATACGGGCTAGCGTCAACTCCGTCACCTCTCACCCCTATTCTTAGAAACAGAGAGTTTCCTCCCGGCATGGCTCCAAGAGATTTCCGAAATATCGAAAATACCGGCCTACAACGGATCCATCAGTTATACCACAACGGAGAAATAGTCCAATTCGAGGAGTTACAACAAGACCGCCATTTAACACCGGCAGATTTTTTCAGATATGTTCAGATACGGGATTTTGCCCGAAGGCCACGTATTAGAACCGCGGCACAGAAACAACTGACTTTCTTCGAGAAATTGTGTTCAGAGGAAATGGCACCTAAAGGTATGATCACACTTTTGTATACACACCTTAGTATAGAAAACAAAGAGTGGGGGAGTTTAACGTATACTGAGCAATGGGAGGCGGACCTTGGAGAGGCCCTGGAAGGACTTGAATGGCAGGAGATATGGGAATCTAACAAAAATGCTTCCATATGCGTTACGCTCCAGGAACAGACATGGAAGACTATGTTCAGGTGGTATACCACACCAGTGAAACTGTACAACATGCATAAACTAGATTCGGACGTTTGCTGGAGAGGCTGCGGATTACGCGGAACGTACATCCATATGTGGTGGAAATGCTCGAAATTACACGGCTTCTGGAAAGCGGTGGAGGAACTCTTGGAACAAACCTTTGATAAACCCCTGAAGTTAGACCCCTGGACATATTTACTGAATAGAACAGTAGAAGGGTGGACCAAGAGAGAACAGAGATTAGCTCATAAAATAACTCTAAGCGCGCGTAGAGAGATAGCAATTAAGTGGCTGAAACCGGAAGGACCGGTCTTTTCTGGGGTGATCTCCAGGGTACGTGAATGCAGGATTATGGACGATTTGACTGCCAGGATAAAGGGTACGACTGTAACTTTCCAAAAACTTTGGGAACCGTGGGACAATAGCCCAGTGGGCTCGAGCAGTGACTGACAGGAAACGGACCATAGCATAGACTAGGTACGCTTATCGATCCCCCTCCCCTTCTCTCCCGAGGACATTTTGATTGCACTACTGTTGGAATGAGGGCTCCCCCCCTCCCCCTTCCTCTCTCTTTTCTTTTTCCTTTCCTCTGATCTTTTTCTCTTCTTACTTTTCTCTTTCTACTGTACTTTTGTCTCCTGTTCCTTTTCCTGCTATCTATTTTTCTCTCTTTTCCGTTCTCTCTATCTCTTGATAGCCAAGAGATTAGTGTTTCTCCGCGATAGGTTTAATCAAGCTGTCAGAAGTGCTGGGATACCCATACATAGAAAGCGCTATAACACGCAGTGTAGTAGAATGGGTCCCAAATATAGCCAATATGCCTGTGAGACAGGTGACAGCTCCCTTAATGGGGCAGCGACCGGAGGGGAACGCGGGTAGATCTCGCTTGGCCTACCTGATATATATATCTTAGCTTTTTACAAATCTCTAAGCGGGCTTCTGCGTAAGCCTGAAGGTTTCTATGCAATTGTTCCACCCGTTGAGTGAAAGCATACAGTTCATCCAAAAACTCTAGACGGGTAGCAAGGCACCAACGATTTCAACATGACTTATCGATATGTAATGGATATACGCCTCTTGTGCCCAAGGCAGTGTTGCTTGCCATTGGCTTCTGCGTAAGCATTTAAGTTGGCCATGTACTTGCTATAACCTATAATATGACACACACAAAAAAAAAAACAAAAAAAAAAACAAAAAAAACCTTTGTAGACGACAGGTACCAATAGTTTCTTAAGGAATGGGCGTAGATCGTATTTGTTGCACTATGTTATGCTTATGAGAATTGAATTCACATTGGCTTCTGCGTAAGCCCAAAAAGTTGATGAATACTTGCTGCGTCTATTGAGTGAAAAATAAAGAATTTAAAAAAAAAAAAAAATAAGAATAAAATGGAAATAAAGAGAAATGAAGAAAAAATGAATAAATAAGACTATATCTAAATCAAAATAAGTATAAAGCAAAAAGAATTTATAAAAATAAATATAAAAAATGTAAAAATAAATAAAAATAAAAATATATTAATAAAAATAAAATTAAAAATATAATTGGAAAATATGAAGAAATTTGGATTGATAAAAAAGCCGAATTTAATATTAAAAAATAATGAATTTGATGATAATAAAGATTAAATGACAATTAATAATAATAATCCTAATGATGAAAGTGTCTGTTCCTTTATTTTATAGAAAATGGCATAACTCAAAATCTGCATTTAATCCTAAAGGGGCTAAGGTGTTTAGGTCAAAAATCCATCTAGTTTCAATTTTTCCTAATTTTCTTATTTCATCTTCCCCTCGCCAATTTAATGTAACTTTTTGGATTGCCATAAAGTCTAAAAATTGGGGGTCTTTATTATGTACTAAACTAAAATGTTCTGAGACACTGTGTTTGTCGTAACCTTTTTTAATGTTTCTTATATGTTCATTTATTCTTATTTGTAAAGGACTCTACCTACGTAGAGGAGATTGCAAGTGCATTTTAATATGTATATTACCCTTTTCGAGAAGCATGTGATCATTTCTCGTATTTTATATTTCTTTTCTCCCTTTTGATCATAAAATTCTGTGACGTGTCTTTTAGTGTTCTTTGTATTTTTACAAGCTAGACACTGTCCACAGCCAAAAAAACCTTCTTTTTGAAAAAAAGGGGTAGATGCATTCTCTTTTATATGATTGTGGAACAATTTTTGTTTTAGGTTAGGGGTTCCTCTATAAATCAGTTTAGGCTTTTCTGGTAGTATAGAGTGCAGCATCGGATCATTTCTTAGTAGAGGCCAATGTTTGTTTATTTTTTTTTTTAAATTATGACTTTCTTGATTAAAATTGCAAATAAGTGGTATGTCATTGTTATCATTTTTATTTTTTGATTTATATTTTAGTAGAGAAGATATTTCCATTGTTTTTACTTCTTTTATGGTGTCTAAAAGGGACATCTCTTCATATCCCTTGTTTATAAAATCCTTTTTAATCCTGGTGGCTTGAATTTCAAAGGTGCTTACATCTGTGCAATTTCTGCGGATTCTCATAAACTGTGCCTTGGGTATATTTTTCAACCACGGTGAGAAATGGCAACTATTTAGGTAGATGTAATTATTTACATCTGCCGATTTAAAATAAGTTTTTGTTTTAATACAATTATTTTCTATAAAAATTGTTAAATCTAAAAAATTCACATTCTCCATACTATAATCTGTGGTTAAAACAACTCCCCAACTTACTTATATGATACTACAAACAAACAACTTACTTATATGATACTAAAGATTAACTGGAAAACAATATATATAAAAAACTTTTTTATACTTATATATGTATAACACTATGTATCGAAAAAGACATCAAACATATTGCCTCAATGTTTTTATAATTCTTTTCCTTTTGTGCATTCTATGTTGACACGAGCCGATAAGGCTCGAATGTGACCTGTGCAATAGGGATTCCCGTTGATCGGGTTCCCCTATGACGCGGACCGGAAGTTGCGCACAAAGCACTACGGACCTTGTAGTTACGAAAAACCGGAAGTGATGCGACGGCAATGAAATCGCGTCACGGAAGTCATTGGACCAAGAAAATTTCGTCGGGAATGAAAGCCTTTTAAACACAGGAACAGTGAAAGATTCATGAAAGCTGACTGAGGAAGCCGTTGAGATCGGCGAAATGCGTTTTAGCTTAAAGTGGACTTTAGGATTAAATGCAGATTTTGAGTTATGCCATTTTCTATAAAATAAAGGAACAGACACTTTCATCATTAGGATTATTATTAATTGTCATTTAATCTTTATTATCATCAAATTCATTATTTTTTAATATTAAAATCGGCTTATCAATCCAAATTTTTTCATATTTTCCAATTATATTTTTATTTATTTATATTTTTTATTTTTATTTTTTTATTATTTTTTTATTATTTATTTATTTTTATATTATTTATTTTTATAAATTTTTTGCTTTATACTTATTTTGATTTAGATATATTGTTATTTATTATTCATTTTCATTATTTCCATTTTATTCTTATTTTTATTATTTTTATTTTATTTTCATTTTTATTTTCCATTTATATTTCTATTTTTATTTTTATTCTTCATTACTTCATATATATATATATATATATATATATATATATATATATATATATATAAAATTTATATTTATTTATATATTTTTTTTTTTTTTTTTTTATGTTTTAAATTATCATTTTAATATACACTACTTTACTTTTTCATAATCTTTTAATTAAGATTTTCCTTCTGTTTTGCATTTTATGGATACATCCCAACATTAAATTTATACTTGCATAATCAATTTTTTTTGTAGTTTACTTATATGATAATAAAGATTAACTGGAAAACAATATATATAAAAAACTTTTTTATACTTATATATGTATAACACTATGTATCGAAAAAGACATCAAACATATTGCCTCAATGTTTTTATAATTCTTTTCCTTTTGTGCATTCTATGTTGACACGAGCCGATAAGGCTCGAATGTGACCTGTGCAATAGGGATTCCCGTTGATCGGGTTCCCCTATGACGCGGACCGGAAGTTGCGCACAAAGCACTATGGACCTTGTAGTTACGAAAAACCGGAAGTGACGCGACGGCAATGAAATCGCGTCACGGAAGTCATTGGACCACGAGAATTTCGGCGGGAATGGAAGCCTTTTAAACACAGGAACAGTGAAAGACTCATGAAAGCTGACTGAGGAAGCCGTTGAGAATGGCAAAATGCGTTTTAGCTTAGCGTGGACTTATTATTTTTTGTACCACCCATATTCTATTATTCTGTTCTAATTATTTTGTTATTTTATATACATGTGATTTTATAAAGTTAATTCTTATATATACACATTTTTATTATAATAAATATTCCTTTTTTTACATCATCCCATTGGATCCTGAAAATAATTCCAGGGAAGCGGGCAGTGTCACCCCAAAATTGACACCAAGCTGGTATACTTAGAGCCAGTTATCAAAAGGCTCTAAAAAAGGTGAGCACTTTGAATTTTATATTCTCTAAAATACATCTATTATTGGAGATACTACACTTAGTTTGATACATTTGTGTCTTCCATATATGCTGTGGAGAGGAATATACCATTGCCTGGAGAAAGAGGTCGTGTAGTCTACCTAAAAAGACACAAGACGCTCAGAAGTTTAGAGCCTAAAAACTAGAAACGGCTCTAGAAAATGTGAGTTTAGACATATCTGTCACTTACATGCAAGTCTTCCAATTTTTTAATATACTGCACTATTATCTGTATATATTTTCTCTTCTTGTTTTATATATACATCATTTCTTGAGATTATTGTAGAGGGTAAGTGTGTTTTTATAAAACACAATATCACCTCACATTATTATATAGCGCTGCACTCTTTAAAATTCTAAGGACCCTGAAGGTGGAAACACCAGAAAGGTCCTACGTTTTTTCTGTTTTTTTGGTGTTTATGTATGGTGGGTTGTGAGGAGTACCCACAGAGTGTATATAGCAGCTAATATTCACTAATTGAAATCACATACTATATAGCGCCACTCATTTCACACCTCTCTGTATATATATTCTATTAAGTTTTACTACTTACTTTAGAAGGGCACCAAGCATGCTGCAGAGGTTATGATGCTTGGAATGTTCCTTTAAAAATCTCAATTTAGAATACTGAGATTAAAAAGGGACAGTATAGGCACCCAGATCACTTCATCTCATTGAAGTGGTCTGGGTGCAGTGACACTGTTCCATTAACCCTGGAATGGTAATTATTGCAATTTTTGAGAAACTGCAATAGTTACCTTGCAGGGTTAAGACCGCGTCTAGTGGTGGTTAGGCAACTTTTGGTCGACTACCTGACGCTGGACGTCCTCACGCATTGCATGAGAACATACAGTGCCAGTCAAACCCCCATAGGAAAGCATTGCAGCGAGGGACATCGATGCTGGAATCGGGCAAGTACAAATCACTCAACTGTATAGAAATCACTCAACTATATAGAAATTTGCTTTGTGTGCGAGATGTGGCAGCCCTAGACATCCTACCACAAGGAAATCCTAAACTATTTACCAGTATATCACATTGCTGTAATAGGAATTATTACAGTAAGGGATATTACGCAACACTCTCTCATTTCCTCAGATGGAAAAGTTACACAAACAGATCAGTTGTGAGTTCTATTTCATTCCAGAAATGAACGGATGGATGTTACTGTGTCTTTTACAACACTGTGGGATCGTTTAACAGAATCGCCTTTAGGGATATGTTTTCTACCTGGGTAATGCCAGACCATAAACATCTATGTAGAGGCCAATGCGAAGGACAAGTCAGGTGGAAGATGTGGACGTAGCGAGACAGTTATGGTGTTCACTAAGGAAGTGTTCTTGCTGTAAAACCTATTTAAGCTCAAGCGTTGCAGTCTTGATTCGCGTTCTGCCTTTCACACATTCTGATATCAATAAACACGAATGGCAGTTTGGCAATAGCAATATTCTATTAACCAGCTGATGAAAATGGTAAAATCTCACAATAGTCGTTTGAGCTTTTCTTTTTTTTTTTTTTTTAGGGAGAATAGCTCTCTAAATATTGGGGAAAATTTAGCGGAGTGTTGCGGACAGTTTGCTCCTGTCTAGGGCCTCGATTACAATCAAGACGATAACGTTTATTAGCTCCCAATAAGCCTTTTAATCGGGTAGAAATTACAATTACATTAACGCAGGTCGAAATTACAATTACATTAACGCGGTCAAAGACTTATTGGGAGACAATAATTATCAGACTGTGACTAAATGCCATTTTTAAAGGACATTACCATGTTTCCAAATAAATTTGCCATTTAACTTTCAGAGGTATAAGTGGCTAACAGATACTCACAGGTCCAAAAGGTGTAGAGATGAGAGGTTGATGCCGTGGCCTCAGATTTATTGGAGGGCAACCACTGTCATCACTGTTTGGCGAAATAATATGCCTGTAAAATTGAAACAAAATTTATGTACACAGAAATTTTAAAGTTCAAGCTATGGGGTGCAATGTAAGGGGCACAGCAGCTGAAATTAGAGTAGTACAAGGTGAACAGCAGTCCAGCATGCGCTGTAGTTATAGTGCCAGAAGTGTCCTGGTACCCCTTCCAATTGTAAGTAGCAAGACCATTTGACTCCATACCTGGGGTTACCCCCAACGCCACGCTCCATGCCTTTTTGGAGCCGGAAGCTCCTCTGAGGATCTACAGTTAGCTCATCTAAGTTTAAGCCCAGCAGTGCAGGAACAGCCCATTTGCGCAGAACATCAATGAAGCTTAGTAAAGAGTGATTCCTGCTACAAGCAGCAGAGACCGGGTAAGGGTTACTAAACTGTTTGACTACTTATATAAGTGGGTGGTACCAGGATACTCCTGGCACCATGACTACTACAGAATGCTTTAAAATATATTTAAGAGGTCATCTAGCAGGATTTGGCTGTATTACATAGAAAGGTCCAGCATATTTTAACGTAGAGGACTTTTAGAAAGCTCTTTTTACTCCTGACCTAAACTATAACTTACTAAATGTGAAATAAAAGTGCAGTTTAAATTAAATAAAAAATATTTTTATAAAAAAAAAAAACAAAACAAACAAAAAAAAAAAACTCAACAAAACTTATGCATATCAAGTATGTGGCAGTGAAGTACACACCTTTTGAATAACTGAAAATGAAACTAAAAAAAAATATATATATATATATATACACATACACACACAGAAACTAAACAGAAATTGGCAGTGAAATTAAAAGAATCAAACATTCACCAACAAATACAATTTCTGAAGCCAACTAAAAACCATGTTGCAATTTGAAAATAGCATTCAAATAAAAAATACATTTGGAAATACAAAAACTAGAACCTTGCTACCAGCCATAAATTGTTTAAGGTAGCGTCCCTGCAAACGCCTTCTGGCAACAGATAAAGTCAAGGGTACTGAATGTAAATTATTTATATAGTATACAAAAATGGGTCACTTGGCAAATTCCAAAAGGAGTGTTAACATTTTTTTTTTTTAATTAAAAATTAGTTAAGGACCACTCTCATAGATACAAACTTAAAAAAAAAAAAAAAAATAAAACATGTAGGACAGTGCATGGAATAAGAATTAAGGTGTCATTTGGATTCATAACAATTAAATCTAGGAATCCCCTAAAAAAAAATGCCTTAATTATCTGATATTTCAAGGACAGCACAGGACTCTCCCATGCTGCAGGGGATCATATTTCATATTCTACCCATCAGGATTAATAAAGTATTAATGTGCAGGGAAATACAGGATAATCTTTGAACTCTAAGTCACATTATATTGTGATGACACTAGCCATGATTCTGTATACAGTACTGAATGCTAATAAGAATCCCCCTCCCTCCATATTAAGGTACCGGATTGCCCTGGAAGTCACTGATATGTATTAGTCTGAGTGCTGCACTCTGCGTGAGAGGTCCCACGGGTGACAGTGACAGTAAGTGGCCACCTACCTCTTGTCTTCCTCCATGCTGGGGGCGATCAGCGCTGTGCACACTGCCCACTGTCTTGCAGCAGGAATTAGCAGGGCCCGAGAAATATCCGCCAGACAGCCCCACGCACGTCACTTCCACGGCCGGGACCACCTGAACCCACGCAGCTGCAACAATGTATCTAGCTTACAGCCTGCGCATTTGGGAACCCTGATAGAATGCCGCCCAGTGCATCATGGGATCTCCATACATTTATACAGGATATCTTCCTGGACTGTCTGTGACTTTAAATCCACCACCCGAGCCTGTCACTGTTTGTGTCATTTTTGTGGCGTTTAATGTTTTTGTTTTTGTTTATTTTTTTGGTTCGTTTTGCACTGTGCAGCCCTTTTCTTTGCCAAATGCCCTTAATTCTCTACTCAGCCAAAATAGCTTAAAGAAGTGAAACCATTTTATGGTCTCTGTGAATATTTATTGCATTTACTATGAAGTGCAATGGTTAGTTGCTGCTGCTAGGACTTGTGTTTCACTACTCTGGGATAAGTGAGTGCTTTTGGAAGTTGCATGGAGTTTGCAATGGAAAAGGAAAGTTTAACATGAGAATAGTCATCGTCACAATCAATGTTTTGGTGTTACACTTACACAGGGCTAATTACAATGCAGCAGCACTTTGGTATTTCTGTGCCTTAATGAAGCAGTTTTAGTGTATAGAACAGTGGTTCACAAACTTTTTAGGTTCAAGGTGGCCTTAATATTTACATATTTTTCCAAGGCGCCCCAAGTCAAAAAAAATCTCTAGGTTGTATATATGTACAGCGCAGCGGCATATACTGGGCCCCTGTTTGGCAGAAATGCTTGCCGTTCAAGTGCAGATCCAGAACCTAATTTTGGAAGGGCACTGGTAGATTATTTAAAGAAACAATCCAGGCACAATAACCACTGCAGCACTTTGTAGCGGTTATGGTGCCAGTAGTGTTTAAGAACAGTCTGACAAATAGCCTGGGATCTACCAGGATAGGGGCTGTAGAAAGGGATAGGGGCAGTAGTGTGTGTGAGGGGTGCAATGTGCGTGTGAGGGGTGTGTGTGCATCGGGGTTTAGTGTGGGGAGGGAGCAGTGTGTGTGTGTAAAGGGGGCAGTGTGTGTGTATGGGGGTAATTTTGTGTATGGGGGAGTTATTGTGTCTCTGTGGGGGTAGGAGGGCAAATCCATTTATATATATATATATATATATATATATTTTATTTTTTTTTAATTAAAAATAAAAATTTTCATATTGCCGCTCCCTGCTTACCTTTGCCTGAGAGGGGGGACATTACCTGGTGGGGAAGCCCTTGTGGTCCCAGTGAACTCTAGCAGCCTCAGGAGCTGCTAGAATTCACTTTCGCAAGATGCATTTCTGTGGTAACCGGGGCAAAGCTCCGAGCTCGCAAAAGGAGAAGCCAGCAGAGCTGCAAGTTAGTGCTCCCTCCCCTGCCGGCTGCAGCATTACAGTCTCTGATCTCCCCTATGGTCCTGCAGAGCCGGCAGGAGAGAGGGAGGCGCAGGCAAATATTTTGCGGCTCCCTCCGCCGCGGCACACAGTTTGGGAACCACTGGTCTAGAGCATGCTCCATGCAGTTTCACTGCTCAATTATCTGTCATTTAGGTGTTAAATCCATTTTGTTTCTGTTTACACAGGCCTAGTTACACCTCCCCTGGCTGTGACAGACGCAGGCTGTCTAAAAAACAAAATGGTTTAATTTCAACCAGATCTTTAAAGGGATACTCCAACCACCATGACTACTTCAGTGACTTGAAGTGGTCATGGTGGTAGAGGAATCTGTACGTGCAGCATTTCTGCTGGAAACGCTGCACATACAGGGAAATCTGCATTTGTGTACCGGGGCTAGTTACACTCTATAACACTACTCTTGTTCCGTACTGCCAAATGTAAATTCTGTGCATAAAATACATCAGTGTTCCTCTTGCAGGCTCTCATGGGAAGCTCAATACACGGACAATGTATTAAGCTTCCCATGAGAGCCTGCAAGTCCCCACTGTTCTGAGCCTAACAATAATACTTATTGTTAAAAAAAACAAAAAAACATTTTCCCACCCTAGCCTCCCTCCCCAACTCACATTGTGTGCATGCACACTGAGCTGGTGAAATAGTCCAATAACAGATTTCTTTATGAGTTTTATTTGGCCACAGACTAAAGGACTAGCATAGAAGATCGTGTGATCACTGGCGTACATCCCGCGGTCGCCCTGCGACCCGGTATGTACTCCAGTTTGCCAGCCTCTTCTCCTGGGGGGCCCAGGAGCTGGCCACCTCAGGGCCCCCTGAGGCTGGCAATGGATCATTCTCCCCTTATATGCATCTTTATTTTGTTATATCTGTAAATTTCATTTTGTTTTGCATTTGTGAATATAGACATTTGGAAGGAATTGATTTTTTTACAGAAATGGGTGTATACGAGCATAATTGCTCTCTCTTCATTTATCTCGACTGGTGTTTTAAAATATCTGGATGTTTGTATCCGAGGAGTCAGAAGCAGAGGCCCTAGACACCTTATAGGTTTTCCATGCTCCTGAAGTATCGGGTGCTGCTGATCGGGGGACCAGCAAGAACTTACCATGCTCAAAAAGGATATTAAAAAAAGAACATTGCTATTGAAATTAAAAAAGAGCATTGGTTTGGAGATGGTGCTTATACACAATGAAATTACCACAGTCATGGGCCATGATAGCAGGGCCGGTGAAAGGATTTTTGGGTACACAGGCGAAGATGATTTTGGAACTTCCCCACCCATCCAATTAAAAGCATCTTCACCTGTGTGCATCTTAACCCACCTTTTGTTTCTTATCCCCTTTTTTAAATGTCTTATCCCCTTTAGTGTATCTTATCCCCTATTTTTCCCCATTGTGTGTCTTACACCTCCCTTGTGTATCTCTTACAACCCCACTTTGTGTGTCTTACTCCCCCATCCCCTTTGTGTGTCTCCTTCTCTTCCAGCCCCTTTGTGTCTTTTACTCTTACCAGCTCTTACTCTACCAGCTCTTTACTCTTATGACGTCATATTCCGGCACCCGGCATCACTACAAACCGCGCACACGAGGGAGCGGTAAGGAGCAGGAAGACTGAGCTCCTCCAGCGACCTCTCCTCCCAGCCATGTAAGTTTTAGCAGAGTAGGCACCTGCAATGTGGAGAAAGCAGGTGACTACTCTGCTTTAATACTAAGCATGTACTTGTGGCTCGCCGGGCCGCAAAGATGTCCATTGTGGGCCACATGCAGGCCGCCACCCGCGCGCTTGACATGATTGGTGTAAACTAACCGTCTTCCCAGATTTATGACGATCTACATTCCCCTAGCCCCAGTAACTACTCCCAGTCACATGGCAGCTGCAACTGCAGGGTATTGGGTACCGTTGGGTTATTTAACATCTCTACTGGTAAATTGTAATGGGATTAGACATCATTTGGAATCACGCCTCTCAGATGAACTTTTCTTGACTAAGCTAGGTCTATCTGATTCGGCTCATGAAGCCACAAGACCAGAGGGTTCTACATCTATCGGTGGGTGGGATGTCTCTCCCATCAAACCCTTTGTGCTGTAACGAGATAAGCCTTCGACCTCTTGACCTGAGGACCTGACCTAATCACTGTTCATGGTTTTGGGTATTCATCATCTTTTCTGGTGGGGCCAGTGGCGTACATACCATGGTCGCAGGGGTCGCAGCTGCAACTGGGCCCGGCCCACCAGGGGGCCCGGCCGCCCTGCGAGCCGGTATGTACGCCAGTTTGCCAGCCTCTTCTCCTGGGGGCCCAGGAGCTGGCCACCTCAGGGCCCCCCGAGGCTGGCCCTGGCATCACCGGGCTGGCGGGCGCGCAAGGGAGCATTCTCCCCTGAGCGCTCTCTGCCCAGCTCCCTCACACGCACCGCAGTGATGCTGGAGCCAGAATATGACGTAATTCTGGCTCCGGCATTAGTAAGCGGCGCGCAAGATCAATGCTCCCTCGCCGCCTGCAAGATTGGCCGCCCAGCAGCCCCACTGGACCCCAGGGAAACCCCTCAGCACTCTGAAAGGCAGGGAGGCTGGAGGATTAAATTTAAAAAAAACGTGTTTGTGTGTATGTGTGTTAGAGTTAGTTTTTGTGTGCGTGTGTGTGTGTGTTACTGTGTGTGTTAGTTTGTGTGTGTCTGTTATTGAGTGTGTATCTGCTAGTGAGTGTCAGTGTGTGTGTTAGTTTGTGTGTCAGTGAGTGTGTGTGTCAGTAAGTGTGTTACTGTGTGTGTCTGTTACTGAGTGTGTGTCAGGGCTTACCTGAGTTGGGAGTCCAGCAGACAGGCGATACTCGAAAAATTAGAATATCATGCAAAAGTTCATTTATTTCAGTAATGCAACGTAAAAGGGGAAACTAATATATGAGATAGACGCATTACATGCAAAGCAAGATAGTTCAAGCCGTGATTTGTCATAAGTGCGATGATTATGGCTTACAGCTTATGAAAACCCCAAATCCACAATCTCAGTAAATTATAATATTAAATGCAATCAATAAAACAAGGAGTGTACATAGAACAATATCGGACCTCTGAAAAGTATAAGCATGCATGCATGGACTCAGTACTTGGTTTGGGTCCCTTTTGCAGCAATCACTGCCTCAATGCGGTGTGGCATGGAAGCTTTCAGCCTGTGGCACTGCTGAGGTGTTATGGAAGACCAGGATGCTTCAACAGAGGCCTTCAGCTCTTCTGCATTGTTCGGTCTCATGTCTCTCATCTTTCTCTTGGCAATGCCCCATAGATTCTCTATGGGGTTCAGGTCAGGCGAGTTTGCTGGCCAATCAAGCACAATTATCCCATGGTCATTGAACCAGGCTTTGGTTCTTTTGGCAGTGTGGGGAGGTGCAAAGTCCTGCTGGAAAATGAAGTCAGCATCACCATGAAGCTCGTCTGCGGAAGGAAGCATGAAGTGCTCCAAAATCTCCTTGTAGGCAGCTGCATTGACCCTGGACTTAATGACTCTGGGTCCTTGGTTTCCAAATGAGATGCAAAAGTTGCTCTCATCAGAAAAGAGGACTTTGGACCACTGAGCAACAGACCAGTTTACCACCAGGTCCAGGAGTGCTGGGGACTTTCACAAGGAGTGGACTGAGGCTGGAGTCAGTGCATCAAAAGCCACCACACACAGAGGGATCCTGGACACAGGCTTCAGATGTCGTATTCCTCTTGTCAAGCCGCTCCTGAACAACAAACAACATCAGAAGCGTCTTACCTGGGCTAAAGAAAAACAAACCTGGCTTCGAACACTAGGTTCCTCTCGAACTGCACGTGTTTCTCAGCTGGATTGGGTCCGAAGTACTTCAGTCGTAGTTTCATCATAGCGTCAAACTCTTCCAAAGTGTGGCGGTACGTCATGCTTTCTGTAGTCAGGGGCGCTGTACAGGAACATGAAGGTACAAGATGATCTGACTCCAATGAGCGTTTATTACTCCTTATATACAAGTTTTTAGGCCAGAGGC